ATACGTATGTATATTACTATGTATACTAATATGTATATTGATATGTAATTTTTTTGCGTATCTATATATATATATCATTGTATATCAATTTGAGTACTATAAATTTTGATGTGTACCTTTATGATCCTTTATAGTAGAAATGGTAATGTAGATGTAGATCAATGATTTGGGTATGGATCAATACCTATGAAAATACCATTTTTAGGGGGATGAACATCCATAAATCCCAGCTATTTTGATGTGAACTACAGGGGTACAAGGTTTTGACACACTGCCATTTCTGGACAATATCCATCTCCATCCATCTCCACCAGCTGCCGGGTCCCGGCCTGCGTACCAGTGCTGGATCTGGTTTCATTCAGCTCGGCCTGCGATGTCTTCGTTTCACGAATGAACGGGAAGCCACTTCACCATAGCAGTTTTACCGTTGATAGCCTCTGGTAAACTAACAATTCACTATGGAAAATCACCATGTTTAATGGGAAAATCCACTATAAATCACCATTTTCAATAGCTATGTTAAATTACCAGAGGGTAGCAAAAGATTCAAGTACTGAAGATTGCTAAAGTATCTCATCACCAAGCTTGACCCAAATCCACGGAACCAAAAAGGAAAGAAGCCCCGGTGGAATTGCCAACTGAGAAACTGGAGAAACGGGTGCCCTGGGTTTTGGTTTGTGCCACCGTTGGAAGTGTGAGGAATCTTTCCGGGAAGCCACAACACGTAGACGTAGACTCCAGTTTCTTTTCATGTCTCTCTATTTGGAGCTTGGCAAGAAAATAGGTCTACCACAATCCCCAAAATTGAAAAGTTGGAAAGGAAAAAAGGAACTAATATCTCCCATTCAGTTCGATGATTTTCCCAACATTTCCCAACTATAAACTTCATTTCGTGCCGGGATTTGCCCTTGCCACATTTGATTACACAGGGGTTACAAGTTGATTTATAAACCCGTAAACCAGTTCGAAAAAAATTGATATATCTACCGTAGACAGCTCAGAAATGTTCCTTCCGATTGACAGGCAAGGATCGAACAGCAAGCCCCGGATCGAACCGCCGGCCTTCATCTTCCGATTCTCGCGCGTGAGCTTCTCGATCGTGGCGCGCTGCTTGCGGATGGTGCCTGGTGGATCCAAGAAATGCGAAGGGTCAATCGATGGGGCGATTGAAAGATGGCTGAAATATAAGAAAATCATAGGACAAATATAGGAAAAGATTGGCAAATCCTCGAACTAAATGGAGGTTTCTAGCCGGGAAAATCAACTATAAATTATGGATTGTCAAATACCTGTACAGGAACCAAATATGAAACCAGAAACTGTTGTTGTTCTTGTGGAAGCGAGTGTTCGGTGTTTGACAAATCCAATTCTTGGGCTTCATAAGACTGAAGCCTAGGAACTTGCAATATAGAGTCACGAAAATGTTCTGTGGAAAGTCAATGTTCAGTGGACAAGTCGTTTTGATCTCCTTTTTTTCCGGCTTCAAAGTTAGTGTTCAGGATTGCTTATGTTCACCTCTTTCCAGAGTTTTTGGTGGTTGTAAAGAAAACATTGGCTCCCATAATTAAAATAACGATATGAATTAGTGCTGTTTAACCTTGACGTGCAACTTCATTAGTGGATATTACCTAGTGGGTTATAACCAAGAGCTATACCACTCTCGATTCGCAACGCCGCAACGCCGCCTTGCGAGTCTTCGCTGCAAGCGCGCTTGTCATTCTCCTTGGCGACACAGAAAAAAGCCCAGTGGTAACCCCTGGCCCTGCACCTGCTAGTCATTTAAGGCAAGTTGAGTAAACCTTCATGATATGAGGGCTTTATATGTTTTTATCCATAATATCCCTATTTCAATGGTGATATCCCAGTGATATCCCTATTTCAATGGTGGCTTTGAGGTGAATCACCCCATTCGAAACCAACTCTTGGGGGATTAGGATCCACCGGGTCAAAGCTCATCGGATGATGCGAGATGATCCCCTTGGTTGGATGGTTTGTGGCAGGCTTTACCGAAAAAGGTACCATCTGGTTATGACATTCACAGTTCGCCATAGAAAATCACCATTATTTTTAATAGGTAAACCATCTATTTCTATGAGCCATGTTCATCCATTTTCCATGGCTATGTTAAATAACCAGAGGGTAACCATTATTGTCAGTTGTTAACCACTATTAACATCTATGAACCATAAAATATTCACCACAAAATTCAGCACGATGCAATGCTCGTTTGTCCACGTCAAGCGGCGAGGACACGAAACTTCCGCTGCAGCTCCGCGATCTCTTGCTCGATGGGTTTCCTCCAAACGAAGGGCCAAGGGAAGGCCCAGGCCCAACCCACAAAGCGTAGAAGAAATGCGGCATGGGGATATCATGGGGATAGTAGTGGGTACAAGGGGGGAAGAAATGAAAATATCATGGGAAGATAATGATAACAATGGGGATATCATTGGGATAATGCTGGGATAACGGTGGGATCATACGGGATGTTTTTTTGGGCTTTTGTCGAATATCATGGCCCATGCGCATCAAACCTCCACTAACACATGGGTCTAAAAACGGAGGATACCAACAATGGGGTATTGAACATGCACAAGTTTTCTGGAGGGGTGTCCCTAATTTTTTCGACAGACCCATGTTCTTCATGGCGCGGGCATTGATATAACTACCGCACCATGACAGGGGGCTTGATTTGCCGAAGGGATGACGCACCCCCCAGCACCCCTTTTCTCAGTACGGTGGCACCATACTTTTTTCGTCACATCAGGCGGGGCGGGAAAAGTCACATCATCCCCATGTCACAGCGGCGATACAGAAAAGTCACATCAGGTAGTGGAAAGTCACATCATGGAAGAAGAATCACCATGGCACACAGCCTGTTTCATCTACAATAATACATATATATATATATATACACATATACCCAGAAGTGGCCGAAGCATTGCGCACAGCAGGGAAAATGACAGATGCTTTTCTGAAAAGGTTCATATGTGTAAAGAATCCCAAGGGAATGATTGGAAAACTACTGATACCCATATCATCCCGTCAGATTGAAATCCTACTGGTACAGCGCCCATTTGGCACAGCCTGTTTCATCCGTACTTGGAGATTTTGAAGGGCACAAGTCAATACAGCAAGCAAGCAGCAACCAGTGTATGCCCCTTGAATGAATGATTAATTACAAGTGCTAAAAAATTGCCGCAATACAAAAATTGAAACAAAAACCCTCTGGTAATTTAACATAGCTATTGAAAATGGCCCATTGGGTTCGTTGATTGACCCATTAAAAATGCTGATTTTCCATCGCTTTTTGTATGTTTACCAGAGGGTAAATGTCAGGATCTCCGAAACTTCAAGAGGTTGGTTTCAGTGGAAACTCCGCTGCTCGGCCTGTCTTCATCCTTCTTCTTCTTGAACATGGCCTCAAAGCATGAAATTTTCGCGGAGAAATGGAGAGTTCCTAAGTCATGGGGGTACCCCCAAATCATCCAGCTATTTCCGATGGATTTCCCATGGATTTCCCATGGATTTCCCATGAAATATTCATCATCCAGCGAGTTTGGGCTATCCCTCATGATACCCATTCTTCAAAAAAAACTCCATATAATATACATATATATATACCCATACATACAGTAATTATTTCAGTTGATTTTCCATTATGGAAACCATTGGATCCCAGTTACTAAATATAAACCATAAATGGGATGCTGGATCCTATTGGATTTATAAGCCATGGGATATCTCCAGTTATATTAAACCATCCAGCCATTGGGTACAACCATTTATGGAAACCCCCAGTGATGAGCAGTTCATTTCCTCATCCGCAGTCATCCCCCATGGCCCCACCATGGCAGATGAACTCAGCTTCCAACCATGACTGGAATCCACGCCCTGGCACCGAAGGCTTTTTCGGGATGGCGGATATTTTTTCTGATATGATATAATATATGCATCATATATGCACTCCTAGTATATTAATCATCGTTCAATTTTTGAAAAAAAAACTGTGGATGGTAGCCGTAAATTGGATGGGACCAACTCCACATGCGCCTCGGAAACCTGGTGGTGAACGCTCGGCCCGACCACCAATTTGGCACACGCAGGCCCGAGGGCGGTCTGGGTGCGAGCCACGACGTTTGAGCTGAAGCAGCGACATGCCAGCCACGACCTCGTTTGGTTGCCATGATTCTACGGTGCTTTGTTGCTTTTCTAGGAAATGACCATTGAAAATCCATTGAAAGATAGGGAGGTCGATCTTCGGACAGCTCGAAGCAACGATTTGGCGATGTAAAAGGGATTCTTTTTTGACTAGCATCGTTCTCATAATCATTATATGTGTTCATTATACACATTCTTATTAGTATCATGATCATTACCACTATGATTGTTACTATCATGTATTAGTGTTGTTACTCTTGTCATTGCTTACTAGTGCCACTATTGTTACTAGTACTACAACCATCATTACTTCTAGGTGAATATAACAATATATATATAACAATATATATATATTGTTATATATATATATATTATTATTTTTTTCATACATATATCACATACATATATATATATATGTGCATACCCTACATTAATCCATAACCTGCAGCTGGTTCAACCACGCGCTCGCGCTCTTTCGGCAGCGGGTCCCCCGCTTCGGCCCCCTTCAGGGGCCCCCATGTTCGCTAGCGCCGCGCGGGGCCTGGCGCCTTCAACGCGAACTCAGAAGTTGGTACCCTCTGGTAATGACTAACATAGCTATTGAAAATGACCATTTATAGATGGTTTACCTGGGTTTACCTATTAAAAATGGTGATTTTCCATAGTTATGTAAACGTTTACCAGAGGGTATATCAATGGTAAATGATATCCCATATTAATGGTATTTTGATGGCGAATCTCAGAGTTCACAAAGAGTTTTGTTGGTTCATAGTGGTTTTTCATGCTGTGAATGTGCATATGACCTGTAATTAATTTTTTGTGTCAAAATGGATTGATTTCCCCTGGAAAATAGCAATGTTTCTTGCCCCACCAATCTGGACTTTCCAATCAGATGGGCTAGCTGGCCATGCTTCTGCCGCTCACGCTCAAGCCGCTCGTGATTTCACGAAGGCGGTGCAAGGCGTACCTTGGCCCATGTCATTTTAAGCGTGTTCAGGATGTCAAAATTTGATGGGAACGGTTTATAAAGTTTATCCTAGCTATTGAGAATGGCCCATTTAGTTCGTTGATTTACCTTTTTTCAGGATGGTGATTTTCCATAGCTATGTTAGTTTACCAGAGGGTATACGGCCCAAAATGAATCAATATCAATGATACCATCAACTGCCAAAGGTCATGTTGATCTTGGAGGTGAAATGAAGCATCAAAGGTGGAGTCCGATTTTAACCGACCAAATCTGTCAGATTTCAACCCTTTCTTGCCTGAAACAAGATGGTTCTGTATCTTAGGATGCCCAAGAGGGTCGCAGCAAATCCTGATAGCAGTGCAACCTCTGGATGGTCCATGTATGTGATGCCTAACCAAAAATAACAGATCACGTGGTTTCTCATTTTTGAGGATGGCTCCAAAAAAAACTGATACTCCCAAAATTCTTTGACTAAATTAAACCGTTGGGAGTATCAAATTACCAAAATGTTCGTTAGATTAACCCAAACTCTGCACTCCCCGAAAAAAACATCATCTCCAGCGACCTGTCCTTATCACCCGTGCGGCCCTTGGCGTCCCTGGCAGGTATTAATAGCCCACCTTAGCAGTCTCGGTCAATGGGATGGATCCCCAAGCTGAATGGGGAAGAGAACATCGTTTTTACCATGGGATGCCAGATGCTCTATGACCAACTCAAAAACGATCATGTCAAATATAGCTCTGACATATTACCCGAAAAAATATAGGAAAATGGATGAACATGCAATTTTTAGATAGCCACATGTGGATTAAAAAAACAAATTGGATAGCCCTTAAACATGCAAAATCGTGGATTTAGAAAGCCAAACCTTTGGTTTTTTTACAAAACACCGAGGTTTCAAACCAAGATCGACCCACTTTGGTTTCTGCCTTTTTGTGTTGATGTGAGGAAGAAAAATGGGGCCCCAAAGACCATCGGATATCTTGAACTCATTTTCTGACATGCCCATGAAAAAAAAGTGCATCCTTAAAACAATCCTCCAAGAATGAATGAAATGGCAGGAAATTCAACAACCCCAACCCTCGATTGCCCAAATCTTGTTCACTATTTGGCTATATAGTGCCTCCCTCCGCTCTGCCACATTCGATCAACCACTCGAAAAAACTATGCCGTCCATTCCTAGGTGTGGGTCCAAAGCATTAACCCAAAAGAAAAAATAGGTCCTGACTACTCAAAACAATCGAGGTCATAGTCTAGTATACTCACAATCAGCTGCTTAGTTGGGTAGTCAAAGTTGGCAATACGAATGCATACGACTACGACTACTACAAATGACCAATTCCGTGATGTGCATCCCACTTAGCAATTCATGGTTGACCTATGAGTCTCACCGGCTTTTGTTTTCCATATAATACAACTGGGCTATTTCATAAGGGTTTGTCTGAAAATAGAATACCCTATTCCATCCCATAGTCTATATGGACACACCTAGAATAGCTGGTTTTTGGCTGGATGTTTTTTCTCCAGTCATATGGTACAGTCATTTCATAGCTTTTGACCCATCCTCAAATCAACACCTCAGAATAAATACGGAACACTATATATATATATATATGTATAATCATGCATATATATATATATATATGTATAATCATATATATATATAATCATATATATATATACATAATCATACGCTATTTCAAGCCACAACTGGATCATCAAAACTGGCCACCGCACCAAATCTCGCACACCGGCCCACTCTTTGGGCGCATCAAAGTCGTGGTGGAACTGCGACGGGGCCACCGAAGTTGGGCCACTATTTTCATCGGCATCCCAATGGATGGAAATATAAATATCATGTCCCAATTAGTAAGGAAATATGGATATAACTTGATATAAATTGATTTTTGACATTCCGAATTTTCTTGGATTTCTTGGAAATCTAGATCTTAATCGTTCACATCTTCAGTGATTAAGCCTGGGCTGTTCAATTGGTGACCATTTTAGTCGCAAATGACATCGCTTTTGGTGGCTCCAAGCCCTGCTTGATCGTTTCCAGAGTGAAGATTGATCGTTTCCAAGTGGAAATACCATCTGGCAATCGTTTACGTGGCCATGGAAAACATCCCCATCTTCATGGGAAAAGACTTCGGGAACTCATGTTTTTTTGAATTTATATAACTCTATAGTCTTTGATTGTAGATTTTCGCCATTGGTTGATCATCAATCGTGGATTTTCGCCATGGAGAACTTGCCAGCGCAGCTCCGTGCCTCCATAAACTTCAACAAGGCCATGCAAGGCCCATCAGTCGGAGCCAGGCGGCTTCGAATGTCCATCCTCGGTGTCCACCATCGGTTGAAACCATCGGAAACCATCTGAAAAATCACCGAAAGGAAGACTCTGTGGGCTACTTTGCAGCATAACTAAAATACATATGGCAGTGGGTCAAAACCCTGGTACCTAGTGAACCCCAAAATAGCTGGTAAATGGATGTTCATCCCTCTAAAAATGGTATTAATAGGTATTGATTCATAGCCATATAAATACATTAAGATATGAGGTGTGCTCGGGATCTTTATGAATTTGTTACCAAATTGCTGGCCAAACAAATTGGAGTTCAGCACAACTGGCAAGCAGCTAGTGGACCAACCGAACTCGGGTGTCAACCAACGTATCACCCAACAAAGAGTATATGTAAGGCAACCAGCGAAGATCAGGATGAAACGGAGGAAAGACAGGGATACGAACTCAGAAACCAGGAGGCGCCAAGACTACTCCAACTTTGGCCATGACATGACCAACAAAATGCACCAACTAAACGCAAGATTTATTAACAAAAACCATTCCAAAGACCAAATCCAACAAAACATTGCAATTCCTATGCGTTTTACTAAAAAAGGCACGACTTTTCAAATCAAGTGCTCCCCAGCTATTTACGATGATTTCCAAATTTTAGGCACGACTTTAGCATTCCACTGTAGGGATGTGATGGCATGTGTCACCTTGGTATTCACTCTGACCTGGGACGGAGCGACTCTGAAGTGTTTTTAAAACCTGGTAACTGGCGCGATGAAGCCTTGCTTGGCTTATGGAATCCAAAATCTTCAGTGTTTCTCAATCAAGTTTCTCAAGCGTAGCTGAGTCCATGTTAACCCCAAACCTAGGAATATTTAGTCTCTATATCTGACATTTCTGAGACTTTTGATGGATCCAGATGGTTTTGTCAAATAAAATAGGACGCAACAAAAATAATCTTCATCCTTGTCCCCATTATATAAAATGGGCATTTCAGACACACAAAAAAGCCAAGTTGAGCCAAGACGTTCGCCGTTTCTGAGGGTCGCACAGAATCCGCCGGGCGACCTGCCATTCTCCTTGAGAGTAGTTCTGGTAGCCCATGTTGAAGAGTTGGAAAAACTCCACCTGAGAACGTGATCGAATGATGAAAAACATGAAAAACATGATCGTTTAATGGTGCCCAGTTATAAGTTGGTTAAAAAAAAAAAAACATTAACATCCATAAAAACTCTAGTTATAAACCCCATTAACTATAGTTGTATCATAACATCATCCAACTGTTCGAGAGTTGGAACAACCAATCGCCAGCTCCAAATGTTACGCCAAGGCGCCGTAAAGCATTCACGCATCTGAGCGATGACCTCGGTGAACATCGGGGATGTCATGGACATCATGGAGTCATGGACATGTACATATCTCTACATATGTATGTATATATATATATGTATAATACATATAATATATATATATATATTATACATGTATGTATGTATGTATGTATGTATGTATGTATGTATGTATGTATGTATGTATGTATGTATGTATGTATGTATGTATGTATGTATGTATGTATGTATGTATGTATGTAGTATGTATGTATGTATGTATGTATGTATGTATGTATGTATGTATGTATGTATGTATGTATGATGTATGTATGTATGTATGTATGTATGTATGTATGTATGTACGTATGTATGTACTGTATGTATGTACGTATGTACGTATGTGATTACGTATGTAATGTACGTATGTAATTAATGTACGTATGTATGTATGTATGTATGTATGTATGTATGTATGTATGTATGTATGTATGTATGTATGTATGTATGTATGTATGTATGTATGTATGTATGTATGTATGTATGTATGTATGTATGTATATGTATATATATATGTATATACACATTCACAATCTTATATATAAATATATTCCTACATATATGTATACATAATATTACTGTGTGTGCATTGTGTATTTACCACGAGATCTTCTCATCCTTTCTTGGACCTTGCCCCAAAATCCTGGAGATCTTAGCTATCCACATCGGTATACATCGGTGGATAGTGGGTTGATTACCCCAAGGCAATCAAACGTGGCAATAGGAAAGCCCCTATACACGGAGGTTCTGGGAATATCAATCAATACCCTCTGGTAATGACTAACATAGCTATAGAAAATCACCATTTTTAATAGGTAAACCATCTATAAATGGGCCATTTTCCATAGTTATGTTAGTTTACCAGAGGGTATCACCTGTAAATGGGGAATTTTCCATTGCCATGTTTGAGTACCGAGGGCTACATCCCAGCTGCGTTTAGTTCCCCATGTGCCAACCCGCCAAGGCAGGGACTTCATCTGTCTCAAGGATCTCAGACAGGTCCTCACTACGCTTTTCGCAAAGGAAATCTACCTGGTGAGCCCAAAACAACTGTCAGCTGGTGACTAGTTTAACCATGTTTAACCACCATGGTTTAGCATACCTCAATGGAATTTCTTTGGAAAAAAGGAGTTGAACCATCCCCTGTGCCTGCCATGGCTCGGGCTTCAATGGAATTCGGTGCAGGTGGATCACCCAATCACCGCAACTGGTGAGTTTTCAGAGGACTTACTAACCAGGCTTATTTACCAGTTAGTTCGTAAATGGAATTATCAAGCCTGAGCGAAAACAGCAACATGTACGCCTGACATGTCAAGGGAAAAAGGTCAATCACTATGAATGGTGATTAGTTCAGTGATGAATAGTGATTGATAGTGATTGATAGTGATTGATAGTGATTGCATAATAGTAGTTACTAGTGGTTAATAGTGATTGATACTGTACCTTTTCGACTCAGGGTCGATTTACATGATTCAATTGGGATCATCATAAAACCACCAGAATAGATCTTGCTTTTGATACATATGTATATTGCTAGTATATGTATATATACGTATATATATATACTATATGTATATATATATATATATACGTGTATATATATATATATACATCCCCATGACCCCAAGATATCCCCTTTTTTCCCCTGGCTACATCGCTAGCATTTTTTGTCCTACTGCCATCAGCCCTGGAACCCAGTCCCCGAACGTCGCTCTGTCCTTCTGAAGCACGGCATTCTTTTCCTGTTCCATCCACTGACGCACCTCGGCTCCGAATTCACGGTTGAACCGATTGGTGAATGTTTTTTTTTGGAGTATAGCAACCCCAAGAACATAGTGTAGAAAACGTACATGTTCAAAAAAAAACAAAGCCTAGAAACAGGTAAATTCTTGTAAATTCTGGTAAAGTTCACCTGTTCATTACAGTCCCCTCTCCCAGACCTTGAAGCGCTGCCGGGTGTTCCAAGGAACCTGGCACCGTGAAAGCCGTGCACTGAAACAGCTGAGACGTCAGAAACGTTTTTTGCGTATTCTGTCTCCACGCAGTCCAACGCAAGAATCTTTCAATGCCGAATTATTCCAATAATAACCATCATTAACCATCATCAATCATCATTAATCACTATTAACCACCATTAACCATCATTAACCATCATTAACCGCCATGGTTGACCCCGGGAAGCCCATTCCGGGAATGGCCATTTCCCTATTAGGAGGTCCACACAATGCCTTGGGCCGCTCAGTGAAATCCACCTCGACGCCTTGGGCCGACGCTAAAATGTTGTGGACGTTGACCCAAAAATTGGAAAAAATGGCGGAGAGCAATGACAATATGGTTGACACATATACATATATACATATACACATGTATACATATGTATATATATATATATATATGTATATATATATATACATATTAATATATATATATACATATGTGTCTCTCCAAATATATATATATATATATATAAACATTTATATATATATATATACATACTGAGATACCACTTTGATGATCTTTGATGATGGTGACATGAACCAGATTTTAACCACGAAACGGGTAAGATTCGAGATCAAACATATTTGGCCATTGCTTTCCCCTCACTCGGTGCCAGTTGCAACATCCGATCATCCAATTGTTGGATCGCAAAAAAAAAGATCATCTGAGAAAAGGTAAGCCCCGTGACCGTAATTTTGGGGGTGACAAATGGCATTACATGATATAATTTGATATACTATGGTTGTGGCGATGGTAACGCATCATGGAAATACTGCTCCCAACCGCTCGGGTACAGTTGGATTGAGTAAATAAGGAGCTTGTTCATCGCACACTTCCCACCCTTACCATTAATTTACTTCGCAGCTTGGAGCAACCCAATGATGTTGGCTTAGCTAAGGCCATGATAGATTCATCTAACCATCCATAAACCATAGAATTCATCATCCAAAAAATGCCCCTGGCCCTTCAGATTCATCAGCGGTTTTTAATGGTTTTTTGGTCGCCGGGCTCATATAGTCCAGATCCACACAATACAGATCCATAGGTGCTGGAGAACCTGCGCCGCGAGTTTCCGACTTGCAGAGGGGCGGAGGTCCCCGAGATCGGTCGCACTCGCAGCTCGGCGAAAATGTTGGGCAAAATTGACCATCTGGTTATGACATCGCCATGGAAAGATCCACCATTTTTAATAGGTAAACCATCTATTTCTATGGGCCATCTATACCATGGCTATGTTAGTCATAACCAGAGGGTATCAGGAAAATATGGAAAAATACACCGTCAACGGTTTCGAGATAGGAAAATCATGGGAAAATCCACGAAGTAAATGGCGGTTTCGAGCTGGGAAAATCATACGAAAACCTTCGAAGTAAATTGGCACTTTTTCAGCCATGGACCAGAGGGCAATCCCTCAACATCAGCATTTCGTCAGGTGACACGGCTGGAGATAGACCGATAGTTCCCACAAGTCCTCGAAAAAAATCTACCCATTGAATTGATGCAAGTCAGTTCGCCACTAGTAACATAAAAGAATGTGGGAAGCCCAAGAACAAACTATCCCCAAGATCACCGGTTGCGTAAACCATCCACGGCTTTTTTTATCGGGTTCTCACATGATTATATACTCTGGTTCATACTGTAGGTCCCCGAGTCGTCGCGGATCATGTCCCCCAACTTTCTGATCACAAAAAAAGACTGGGGGTGCCATTCCTCTTTTCCAGTAGGTATATGGTGAGAGTTAGGGGTTGTATCCCAATGTATGAAGTTATACAATGTTATATATTACCATTGTTTGACCCATTAGCCATCAGCAAAACCATTACCCTCTGGTAATGACTAACATAGCTATTGGAAAATGACCCATTTATAGTGGATTTTCCCATTAAAAATGGTGAAAACCATAGCTATGTTAGTTTACCAGAGGGTACTAACCATCAGTATTATCATGTTTTCAGTATGTTCACCACTCTTTCCTCCCCATGTTATGTCCATTTTGCTCATCCAGCCTCGGATAATCACCTTGTCGATCAAGCGACACTGAGACCTACGGAAGACGTCATCCATGAGGTCATGAAAAACAAAGGATGGGTTAGTGGGTTAGTCCCTTTGTTAGTTAAGGTTTATCCTCTGGTAAACGTTTACAGTTGGCGAACTGGAAAATCACCATCTGTTTAGAGGTACAACTATTCCTATGGGCCATTTTCAATAGCTATGTAACAAAATTACCAGAGGGTAATTGAGGCTACAGTTGAAACCAAGCCCATCTGCTTATGGAAGATTTTTTCCCATGTGACTAGGTCATTTTAGGGGGTTAAGGTTGGCAAATATTCCGGCACCATGGAGGGGGAGGGTCTTGACCTCAATTTGCTGGGGGTTCCGGTTTCGAGTTTCTCTTCAAGCCAAATTTGTGAACATGGCAACATCAACCTCGATAGGATCAAACAGTGTTTGTAGTGATGATATGAATGAAACATGAAACGTAGAAATATAGTGCTAGGATTGATAGTACGTGTAGTAGAACTCAGAAGAGGTAGCCACAACAACAACTGTCAACAATTGAATATATGATTCAACGCATGTTTCAACCATCATCAACCTCAACAAAGATAGCATAATCATCCCTTACTTAATACGGGTTTGTCTACCTCATTCCATCCACTTGCTATTTTTCGACTATGAAATGGTGGTGTATATACCACATTTTACCACATTATCAGACAGAGCCAAATATCACATTGTTGATCATAGATATCCCATAGATATCCCGTAGTATCCCATAGATATCCCCATAATTCATAGATATCTCATAGTATCCCCATTACATCCAAAATATCTATGGTGATATTCATCATAGATTCATAGATATCCCCGTTAACATCCACCATGTCTAGATATATCTATGATAAATCAAATGGATAGATCCCATATATCTATGATTAATTTCCCCATTATATATATAATTCCCATTAACATAGATTTATCTCATGATGTTCCCATTGTGGATATATCCCCTTTGATGAGTCGCCCAGCAAATCGATATCCCCATCGCTTGGCCTCATGTTGTAGGACACCAGGTCAATGACCTCGGCCGAGGAAAGGCTGTTTTAGCAACCAAACCTATGGGACAAAAAAAACAAGACATGAAGGAGTTGAATATATAACTTATATGGCTATTAATGAGGATATATGGGATATATAACTACATCATGAGTTGAAGCATATTCAGATATATGCAAAGTGGGGCCCCCTAGATAGCTAAGTTGGTTTATAACTCCAATAACTATGGTTTATGGTACTTATAACTATAGTTATTGGGGCTTATAAACCAACTTATAACTAGGGGGCCCCACATTGTGTATATCTATTATTAGCTGAATTAAATCATAATTCACCAACCTGAAACATAGCTGAAACTTGTCACCAGTTGGGGATGATTCCCCGAATCCAATGCTCATCATTCCAGTGACGTCACAGCGAGGTCATTACAATTCATCCAAATATGTACCGGTATATATATATGTGTGTAATATTTATTATTATTATTATTATTATTATTATTATTATTATTATATATATATATATATCATATTATTATTATTAGATATATATCATATTATTATGTATATATATATTATATATTATTATCAAATAAATATATATATTTATTATTATTATTATATATATCATATTATTATGTATATATATATATTATATATTATTATCAAATAAATATATATATATAATATTATTATTATTATATATATATGGATATCATATATATATATATGTATATCATATATATATATATCACCTACCTGTTTGGCGGGAAATAACCACTAAGTCACTAGGCTGGTCCGTTGCTCCTGTTTCTTTTCACGGAAACGCAACCTCTGCGCATCCGCACGGATTGCGCCACAATCACCGAGACGTTGTACACTTCCTGGTTTCATCATGTTTCATCCATTGGGATGCTGATGAACCACTCATAGCCAGTGAAGTTCTTCAGTAGCCCAGGGGTTGGTAAATGTCCTAATTGAACATCACCCAAATATTGGGGATATAATCTCCAACAAATACTTGAAAGTGATGTTCAAAATCCCCAAAATGGGACATTTACCAAACCCTGCCATTTTATGGATAGTTCACTCGAAGGGAAAAGCGGAAAGGAAATCATGGAGCCAACGAGAGGTGGGTCTAGAGTCTATAGTGTGGATGTATGATCTACAAAGATAGGCTTCATAGTAGTAGTAATGGTATATATAACAGTTGGTAATATCACTATCGTGTTTATCCGATGCCGCCAGTTCAATGTGCAAGTCTCAAAGACATCCTTTCAATGTTTGGCTGTTGAACCATCACCAAAACCTCCCGACCATTCCAGCAGACAACGATGGATTTTGAGTCTCGACCGCAAAACTTCCGCAACAAATCCAATGCTATCAACTTCCGCAAAGCTACAAAAAAACGCTGGTCTTTCCAAGATTCTCTATGAAATCTCAATAAACGCATATTTTCTGTGACTTTCCTCCCGGAAAACTCCATTGCTTCACGACCAACGAACGCTTCACTCACCGCCACGGGCCCGTTTTAACGCCCCGGACGGCACCGTGGAGCGCTCGATGGAGGTGGCGATGGACACGTTGGGCGAGAGGTAGGAGCAGTCGATCTTGAACTCGCTGCCCACCTTAACGTGACGTCCCACGTAAAAAGGACAAACGTGACTTAAGTCGAAAAGTGAATACGATATGGGAAATATATATATATAGTGAAATATATACACCATATCTAGATATATATACAGTATATATATATATATTATATTCACAAATATATATATATATATACATGTGTGTGGCAACTTACACGAATTCATAAAACTGGAAGTCTTTGCCATCTATGGTGAATTCAGCCGTTGAGGTCGTTATAAATTATGCAAACATGTGACACAAATGTATATATTATTGGGATAATAAAGCATGTGTGTGTATATATATATACTGTATACAGACATCATTATATGAGCCATGGTCAATACTCACTATATGGTTGATGGTCATCCCATCCATAATAAGGATCCTTATAATGGTCATTATAAATCCCTATGAACCATTGGATGACTAGCCCCTATTAATGGTTATTAACCATGAGTATTGACCATAGCTCATATATAAGGGACACCATGAATTAGAATCTTCCTGATGGTAACGTTGCTAGGAGCCAAGCCACGTCGTTCTCCGTTGTGGGTGTCTGGGTCAGTAGTTATCCAGGATGTTCCCATAGAGCCCAACCATTGTTTCTTGTGAAACAAATACCACCCCCTTTTTCGTGGGTCATATATAACTTTAGTTAATGAGTCTTGGGTGAAATATTCCCAAACATATGTTCAAATCATTCGCCATCCACCATGATTTATGGTTGTTGTAGCTTTACTGTAAACGTTCTTTTCAACCTTTAATTATTGAAGCCCTTCCTCATATGGATCTTTCCAGAAATGGTGCATACCGTACCCCCCAAATATATGGCCGTGTGCATGGGGAAATGACGAAAATTACGAGTTGAATACATTGGAAGTGGATGGAATGGAGGATTTCCCTGTTCAAACAAACCCATGATCTTTTTCCTATACCACCGTTGTGGTTTCATATTGGACAACAGGGAACATGATAAAAATCACCACAATGTGGGGCCCCCCAGTAATGTTTGTTGGTTTGCAAACCCCATGACTATAGTTAGAAGTATCACAAACCATAGCTATTGGAGTTATAAACCCACCAACTGAGAGATTTTGTTTACGGGGGGCCGCAGTTTGTAAGTTCTGTATGTTGGTTTATAGACCCATTAACTAGACTATAGACATATCTACTATAAACCATAGTTAAAACTATTTTCACCTTAACATCCATAACCCAGGAAAACCTTCGTGAACCGCCGTTGCCATAGTTCACAACATTCTTGGTTTATAGCTACCACTAGCTACCATAGGATTCTCACCGAAATCTCGAGAAATTCCCGTCCTCCAGTGGTCCAGGCATCCGAACGGCTCCTTCGATGGCCCAGCCTTTGTGAAGGCCGATGCTCAAGTGCACCCGGCACTTCGAGCCTGGAGAAAAATCAGGGGAAATTAGGGTTGATATAAGTGTAGAATAGTGTAGATAGCTGGGGCTTATATGGGTTTATAGTAATTTTATGATCAACTCCCACCATTTGCCCGTCTGGAAGAGTTCACCAGGATCATCATCATCATCATCATCATCATCATAATCATAATCATAAATGATATATCAATATCATCGTGATCTTGGGCACAGCATCAACATCTTGTGCAAGGTCGAGGGAACGTGGTCGAAGGAACGTGAACATCCCACCCCACCCCATGTAAATTGTGGGGCAAATGGTGGGCGATGTGTCTAATTTTACATAGTTAGATGGGCTTTGGGTTTGCTATATAGATATAACATCCGTGAATTAAGTTATCCAAAGTGGTTGAAATAATTATAGATTGTTGGGGTCTAGAGTAGTTGCATATAGCTGCGTTTATAAGAAACCAAGTTATATCTAGGGTGGCCCACCTAGTAATGATACCCTTCGGGATTTTTCAACATGGGAAATCCCAAGACCATGGAAGTTTTCTAGGGAAAATCAAGAAATGGGAGGCATGTCCAGCAAGTCAGGTTTGATTCAGGCTAGTAATGTGGTAAACCACATAATAAACCCCCCAAAAAAGGGAGTATGATTGAGTTGACCCTCTGGTAAACTAACAGTTTGCTATGGAAAATCACCATTTTTAATGGGTAAATCCACTATAAATCACCATGTTCAATAGCTTTTTCTATGTCTACCAGGCCGGGTACCCCATCAACACGGCAGTTTGCAACTCCAGGACTTCGAAATCGCTGTGGCGAGGTATCTACCCATACCTCTAATCCAATCCAATCCACCTATGTGATTATGTTGTCATACATGTTATATATATATTATATATGTATATATATATATACCACCCTAATCCATGCATTATATATATATATACATAGAGTCCTATCCAATCCAGTTTTATATGTTTTATGTTCCCATCCATTCCCGCCTAGCCGATACTGAAGCCCCGGGTGTTCTCTGTAGCTTCCAAGCAGCGGCCTTACGAGTGTCCGTGAGTCCTTGATGGTGAATGTGTGTATCTATATATATATATATATACATATACATGTATATATATATATATAGCAGAAGTTGGTAGGATCCTGTTGTAAAATAAGAATAAATCGTTTTTCTATATTTATTGGGGTTACTATATACATATACATATACATATACATATATATATATATAGTTACATACACCCAATCGCCATAGACATAGCAAAAGAGTAAACTGATAAAAGGCCCATGATGGTCTGCTTCTCCACGAATGGTCAGCATGCGCAACAATGATGCTGTTGCGGAAAAGGAAAAAACAACTTCACTCAAATCCCTCGTTTCTTCGAGGGCCTCAAGCGTCGAACTTTTCCGAAGTCTGAACTTGGTATTGTCTGAAAATTTAGGAGACACCCCAAATTCCGTCGGGTTTACCATCATGTTCCCAATAATTAAATTGTTGCCATGTTTGGTATCCACATGTATCCACCACTTTCAGACACACCCTCCACTTACTGAGACTGAGACGAGCGGTGAACAGCGCCGATCATGGCAGCCGAGGAAACGATGGAACCTGACACCAGCCCAACACACGCACCTCTGAAGTCTCGAAATCGAAAATTCACCTGGAAATTCAAGGGGCTTTCCAACTTTACAGGCAGCCCATGATGATCATGATGCCATCTTCTTTCCTCATCTAATATGGGGGAAACCCCTGAAAAATCGTTTCCCGTAAAGTGAAACTTGATCAGACTTCCCTGAGAATCTCATGCTTTTCGACCCTCCTGCGACGTGTAAAACGTGAAAAAATCCACCTGCCTTCAGCAAATTTTCGGATCAGTTCCTCATTGCCCAGACCTGCAGGAGATCCACATGGCAGTTTGAATTGGATGCAAGGTGGGCCCCCAAACGATCGCCAAGTTGACGCACGTTCGTTCACTAGGTGAACGTTTGGGTCCGGGATAACTAAGCGGGGGCGCTGAATGACACACCCAAAAAGTTGGCTAAATAAGTCTTGTTCATCCCTGTCCTCCAGGGTTTTCAGCGAAACTGGAGGGTTTTCATCAACCGCAAATGGGGATATAACTATAGAACCAGCAACAATGATAATCCCTTCCCCTATTACGAAAACCCCCCCAAATAATAAAAATTAGGGTCCGTCTCCAATTTTGGAAAATTTGAGGTTGGCAAATTTGATTTTTAATTGATCCCCTTGGGAACACAATTTAAAATCCTTGGGAACACAATTTAAAATCAAGCTACTATTTGTGAGTTTCACCCCCTGATAATAAAAACTAGTCAACCCCGGGGTGTTTTTTTATTAGGGTCCGTCCGAAAATTTTAGTTTTTTAATATTAGGGCTTTTAATTTAATATTACGATATACTTTATGGGGAAGCTTCGAAATCCAATTTTTGGCAATATTTTAATTGCGTTATAGAAGAAAATTTAATTGATTTTGAAATCAAAAAACAGTTTTTTTATTAAGGGTGTTAATTTATTATTAGGGTCCGCTTCGAAATCCAATTTGTGATAATATTTTAATTGCGTTATAAAAGGAAATTTAATTGATTTTGAAATCAAAAAACAGTTTTTTATTAAGGGTTTTAATTTATTATTAGGGTCCGCTTCGAAATCCAATTTGTGATAATAGTTTAATTGCGTTATAAAAGGAAATTTAATTGATTTTGAAATCAAAAAAAATAGCTTTTTATTAAGGGTTTAAACTTATTATTCGGGTCCACTTCGAAATCCAATTTTTGGAAATATTTTAATTGCGTTATAAAAGGAAATTTAATTGATTTTGAAATCAAAAAAAATAGCTTTTTATTAATGATTTAAACTTATTATTAGGGTCCGCTTTGGTTCCCTAATAATAAATACCACCCTAATAATAAAAACTACCTGAAGTGTTTATGATTTGGGGGGGTTAGTATTAGGGGGAGAGGATTATGTGGATATATGTGCGCATATAATTTTACAAATATGTCTATATGTAGAGATATATGCAACCAACATATCACTGGTCAGTGGTCAAAAAATTGCGTTCTCTCCAGGATACTGGTCATCCCCACAACTAAACCTGACCCTGACAAATAGGGGGTTGGAAGATTCGTTTCCGCTCAAAATTGGCGATGTTCTGGGTGAAAATGTTTGTTTACAGCAAGATTGCACCGTATTGCTTGTCGTATGTCGCCTGAGAAAACACAGGACATTGAAAGGCGCAACCATATCCAAAATGCTCTGGCTTAGCAGGAGGAACCATCTGGGAACAGGTTCATATATATATATATATATACAATGTGGGGCCCCCAAGATAGCTAAGTTGGTTTATAACTCCAATAACTATGGTTTATGGATGTTTATGGTACTTATAACTATAGTTATGGGGGTTTGTGTGAAAAAAACAATCCAGGATATCTACAATATATCAATGTGGGGAACCTACGGACCTACAGTTCTGATAACAAAAATCACCAGGAACTGCTTGGTCGTGTTGTAAAACCGAATGGTGCCTGAGTCCTCATTCTGCTTCCAAATCACCAGGAATGTCTCCCCAGTGTTTTTGTTCGGCGCCTGATGCGACGTGCCGATTCGGTGCCGAGAAAATCCACCAATTCTGCGAGTGGCAATCTCAGGTCTTCGGGAAAATATGAAATGGATTGCCAACAGACCGCGAAACATCGAAAGAAACCAATATTTATGGCTCTTTCTTTCCGACTAGCCTCTGGTAAACGTTTACATAGCTATGGAACATCACCATGTTGGGTAAATCCACGATTTCTAAATCACCATTTTCAATAGCTATGTCTGTTAGTCATTACCAGAGGGTACATCCCATTAAAATCACCATTTTTGTTGGTTAAACCACCATTAAACCACCATGATCTTAGCACATCAGGGGTCAAAATCCTGACGCCTCCACCTTTTTTGACCCCCGAGGTCCCAGCTCCATGGAACTCGTTGCAGACGCCATGCACCTCAAGGGTGTCTCGGAGTGTCACCCGTTGTGTGTTGTAGTCTTTACCGGGTAAAGCAACCACGAGATGGGCCTAGAATTGTCGATTTCATGTGTTTTTTGTCCATAGAAGACAAGAATCAGTTCAGAAAATTCTCTTTCAGCAGGAATAAATGATACAACTTCCAGGTTCAGAAGATGTGACTCCACGGTGACAGTTTCTGCATGCATTGTTGATGCAAGGAAAGAACTATATTGATTTCAACAATCACAAAAAGCACGGAGAAAAGTAACCCACTAGCCATGAAAATGTCACAAAATGTCACTGTAACTCATTGATTGCTTCTGACTTAGAAGTTCCTATGCTGGAAGGCTAGGTCTTTCCATCAGCTGATGGCGATCCTTGGCCTCCATTTCTCCTTGCTCATCTTCCGCCATAGCGATCCAGCCCTTTCAAGTTAGAAAACGTAGCCAAGTTGTAGGTGATCCATAATCTATCCCTACATACATGTATGTATATATATATATATATCTGTGTGTGTGTGTTCATTCTCCAAAAACATACAATCGAAACTTCCCAAAGACAAATCGGGTTTCTCAAAAAAAAAAAAAAACGGGAAAACTACCCAAAATCATCCAAAGTCCAAAGTCCAAAAATAAGTGGCTGTATCATCAGATCTGTGTCCATATTTCAGCCCAATGGGATGAAAAAAAAACATAACCAGAACCAGAGAATGGGAGGTTTTTCTGCATAAGCAATATGGATGGAGGGGATTTTTTTCAGGCCAAGGATTTGGCTAAAGACCTCTCATTTCAATATAGAAATCTCTGTGTGTCTGTGTTACAAAAAATCCATTGCCAGTTTCCCCACTGGTTAAATCAGTAGTTTCGATTGAGCGGCAATCTCGGCGATCTGGTTGGAGAACATCATCACTTTCGCCTGCAGCACCTGAAGAAAAAGGCGGTGAAATTTTCGAGAAAAATGCCATGAAAAATATGAGGATTCTTTACTAATATAGCTGATGATGATGTGAGGATACAATTCTGGATGGATTTGTGGAACTGGGGAGTTTGAGTTTGTGGATTGGTTTGACCCATAATAAGCAGCTCAGTTCTATAGTACAAGTGAATATATTCCCAGTGATTTCGGCAGGACTCAGTCCTGGTCCGAATCATCAACCGCCAGTCAACGCAAAATCTTCGGCCTGAACTAAGATACTCTGCCAACAAAAAGAGTGGATAATTGGATACTCTAAAATCATTCACTCTATTCAAAATAGCCAAAAGTTATAAATTTAAGGTGGCACGTGACTCAAACAGCATCCTGATCCCATCAGATGGAAAACATCATCAAACCCACCGCGTTTGATCACATTTTTGTCCCGCGTTTATCCATGTTTACTCACAACTCCCCAAAATCCATCAAAATCACCCCAATCCCCCAAAATACATATAAAATCCATATAATTCCACCAGAATCCCCCAGTTGCTGATTAAGAAACCAGCCTAAAAGTCTCCCCAACGAGCCAAAAAAAGCACCTCCGTTGCCGTGCTGAAGTCGCGCACGCGCATCACACCCACAATGCACCTGGCGATCCCAAAACGTTCACGGAATTGGTGTACCCTCTGGTCATTTACGTGGGAAAACATATTAATATGGTAAACCCAATAGTAATGCCATTGTATACATATATCATATATATATATACATATATACATACATATATTTATATCTATTTATGTTTATATGTATACTAATTTTTATATTTATATGTCTATTATATTTATACGTATATATTATATTAATTGTTAATGGTTGATAATCACTGGGTATAGTGTGGTAAACCCAATGATAAATCCAAGAATATTATCCAATGATACAACGTTCACTGAACTGGGCTGGGCTGAACAATATAGCGCACAGAATCATGTGTGATACGTATTGAATGTGGTAAACGGTAAACCCAACAGTAAGTCATCCCCCAAAATCACTATTAATGGGTGCTATAAACCATCCCTAAATGAGGGGTTTATTATTGGGTTGCCCACATTGAGCAGGCTGGAAAGTCCCAAGAAAAAATGGGAAAAAATCTTCTCAGCATGATCGAACAAAAATGTTCCATATGGATTCCATATCTATCTTAAGGAAGTGACTGTAGTGTAGAACATGTTCTGAAAAAGAGCAAATGTTGAGAAGACCAGGGCTTTTGCATCTTGTACCATCCCTAAAATATGCGAATGTCTCCCAAGCATCTTCAACTCACAACCTGAGTTAAGTCCCAGGTCGTCATAGCTCTGTTCACCGTGAACCCTCCACCACTGGATAGCATATTAAGCTCATCACTATCACAATAACAGTCAATAACATGAACAATAATCCCCATCAATCAGAATATTCATCACCAAAATAATTGAGCTCTTAACAGTATCATAGATCATCAATCACTAATCAAATCACTATTCACCAAAAATTGAGCTCATCATGACCAACCTACGGTGGGTGGAAGAAATCCTGCACCACCTTGGATGGTTAAAATCCTATAAATAATGGGATAAACCACCGTTTTCAACTGGTGCAGGATTTCGCCACCATCCACAGTAACAACCATTCTCTCCCCAGTACAACAGGATTCGTCTCCACTTGCTCCAATATGTTTTTTCGACAAAAACCCAGAGGCTCGATGTGAAAAACTCCACCAAGTGGATCTTTGGAATTCTTTCGCTAACCTTAATGTCCAGTAATTGCTATATAAATATAAATATATATATATATTGTAATTCAGATCATGAATTTCCAATCCAACTCTTTACTTTTCATTCATCAACAGGCTATAATTGCAGCCTCAGATTTTCCCAGTTTCCAGTGCCGATGATCCCCGTGTTCCCCTGGGCGCTCCCCACTCGCATTTGCGGCCCGGGACCATGGCGTTGACACCAGCGGAGTCGGAACCGCTCATGTTTTTGCCTCGAAATTTCGACTTCAGCTGGGGATAATTACTGGTTGGTGGTTGACCTACCCCTCTGAAAAATATGACTTCGTCAGTTGGGCTTGGGATCATGACATTCCCAATATATGGGAAAATCAAAAATCTTCCAAACCACCGAACAGATTGTTGATTTAGGAGATAGTTATGGAAAATTGTAGGAGAATGATGGAATAATTATGGAAAAACATGGGAGAATGATAGACAATTAGGGGAGAATTCTCGAAAATTGGGGTATGGTCTATGGATTTATGATTTATGGATATTTATGGTATACTTTATGGGATGATGATGGAGAAATGACGGAAGATCCCCATTTACGATTCCAAATAGAAAAGAACCTATCTACTTTCAACTCCAATTCTTTAATATCTACTATATACTTGGAGATGATTCATTCACTTTAATTCCCTTTACCTAGATTTTTCTCATGTTAGATCACCATTTTTGCGGCCAATTCCCCATCTTTACCCAATGGGTGGTTGGTTCCAGAAACCCCTTCTTGGTGGATTGGTTACAGTCAAAGCCCTGGCAGGTTCATGGAAGTTCATTCCCCCCAAATATAGCAATAATGTGGGTAAAACAGTGATAAGCCATGCACTAAATCACCATTTTTTATAGGTGGTATAATAAACCATTCCCAGTCATGGGTGGTAAACATGACATTGTTTTACCCACATAAAACTAGGTTTTGATCCCCCATTGGACTCCAATGGTTGGGAGACTCAATCTGGATACCTCTAGCTCGGCTCACCGCTCCCTTCATTGGATAGAATCTTAAGCTCACCACTATCACAATTCATCAACAATCCCCATTCATCACTAGAAATCTAGAAATCCCAATCCATCCCATTAATCACTATTACTATTAATTCGAATCATTCCATATCATTAAAGAGCCCTGGGATACTCCTCAAAGGGCTACTCCTAAAAGTTGCTATCCTTGCAAAAAAAAATCTGAAAAATTCTGAAAAATTATCAAAAAATAAAAAATATTATATCAAAAAACAACTGAAAAAAACAATCCACGCATTCCAAAACGAATTCAAAAAATAAAAAATTAAAAAAACGCGAAAAAAACAGGAAACAACGGAACAAATTCCACAATATATATATATATATATATTTCAAAAAAAACATGAACGAAAAAATCAAAAAAAAAAACTAAAAAAAAAAAGAAAAAATCAACAAACAATCAACATAAAAATTGGAAAAAAAAACGAAAATAATTAAAAAAACAAAAAAAAACAGAAAAAAAAACATATTTGAAAAAAAAAAAGAAACAAAAAAAAGAAAATTTCAAAATCAAAAACAAATCACACATTTAAAAAAAACACTTGAAATAATCATTTGAAAAAACATTAACAAGACATGAACGAAAAAGTATTTTTTGGAATGAAAAATAATTATTTGGAATGAATTTGCATTATTTGGATTAAAATTTAAATATTTCGAATTAAAATGAATAAAAAGGAATGTTCCAGGAGTGTCCCTATGAGGAATGTCCCTCTCCATAGAGAAGACCATATCTCATGCATCTATGATCAGATAATCACTCTTAATAGTTAAGAGCTTAACAGTATCATAGATCATCACTAATCAAATCACTATTCACCAAAAATTGAGCTAATCATCTAATCATGACCAACCTAACAACCATTCTCTCCCCAGTACAACAGGATTCGTCTCCACCGGCTCAAATCGGTTTTTCGCTCAATCATAATCTAATTCACAGATCAACAGATATAGATCATCAATCACTAATCAAATCACTATTCACTATATATATATTCAGCTAATCATGACCAACCTAACAACCATTCTCCCATTCTCTTCCCAGTACAACAGATCTATATCTGGCTAAATCATCATACCCTCTGGTAATTTAACATAGCTATTGAAAATGGCCATTTATAGTGGATTTTCCCATTGAAAATGGTGATTTTCCATAGTTATATTAGTTTACCAGAGGGTAATTCACCCTGAAACTTAAACACACTCGAGGCACCGATGATGTCTGCGCCGGCTTCGCCGAAGCCCAGCGCCAGCAGGCTGCCTAACCTACGGAAGCAGGGTGAAGTCTGTGGTTTATGGTAGATATGTCTCTGATATATCAATAGTTCATGGTATTATATATATATATACATATATATATATGTATATGTATAATATGTGTATATATATATATATATATATCTACATGTATGTATTATATATATATATGTATATATATATACATGTAACATGTATGTATTATATATATATATGGTGTATGACTATAGTTACTATAGTTCAAGGTAGATTCTAGGCGATTTCTGCTGAGACTAACTATAGATATATAATCAGCTGAACTAGTTCATGGGTGTATGAATGAACATAATTGGGGCCTCACGTGGTGTCTGTGTCAATTCTATGTAAATGTTTTTGACTTTATTGATGTGTCTTGTTGTTCATTGATATTTACGGGTACTTTATGAATGTCATATTTTTGTGGGGGAAACGGGGGAACGGTTTCACTCTGATGCATCTAGGCAACATGTGAATACGTCCCAAACCTAAATGCTTTTCTCACAATCTCCTGAGTGTCCAGATGCTTCCCAGTACACAGAACCGTATAGTATCATCTGTTCTATGGGTGAAAGTCACAAGAATCATGATTTGAGCATCAATATGGGTATGGATCAATACCTATTAATACCATTTTTAGGGGGATGAACGTCCATTTACCAGCTATTTTGATGTTCACCAGAGGTACCAGGTTTTTACTCCCCTATACCATGTCCTCCCCTATCCCCAAAAACGATGTCTACCACGATGGCATCCTCAACAGAAATGCTGGTGCAGCTCCCAGCGATCTCGCCATTGATGAACCCCAAGTTACCCATTGATACACAAAACAAACATGGGTTATCATCAATGATACCAATGATACACAAACATTCATATAAAACATCAATGCAGGTTTTATGTCATGTTATTTCATCTTCACAAACCTGCATTCATAAAAATCGTTACCCTCTGGTAAACTAACATAACTATGGAAAATCACCATTTTTTATGGGACAATCCACTATAAATGGCCATTTTCAATAGCTATGTTAGTCATTACCAGAGGGTACACCAAACATCCGTGATATACGGTATACCATCCATCAAGCCAGGACATCCCCCGGGCACTTGATGATGGTCTTCTCCAGGATCACCGTCTCCAACACCTCGTTGCGGTTCCCTCCATTGCAGCATCGGGAGATCTCCTGGTCACATGGGTCGTGGGACACGGCGGCACGGTCCTGAAAAACGAGCCCCAAAGGTGCCGTTTTGGCCGTTGGGGATTTTCCAACAGAAAAAAGATACGAATTGAAATTCATGGTTTTTTTTCGGATCCCCCCAGTTTAAGACGAAGCAAAATTGAAACATTACCATCTGGTTATGACTAACATAGCCATGGAAAATCACCAAATAGGTAAACCATCTATTTCTATGGGCCATCTATACCATGGCTGGTTGGTGTCTTGATCCATTGGTCATCCCATCAAACCGATCATCCTGGACGCCACTTGATTCATTCCCAAATTAAGTGCAGGTTGTTTCGGCTGGGTGATTGATAGGGTCTTGGGCGTCCTATCAACATATATACTGTATATATATATATATACATATGTTGATATAATGTGTATACATATATATATATATCATATACTATATATATATATCATATACTCTATATATATATATCATATACTATATATAATATATATAATATCATATCATATCATGTCATGTCATGTCATCTCAAATCATATCATATCATATCATGTCATGTCATGTCATATCATATCATATCATGTCATGTCATGTCATATCATATCATATCATGTCATGTCATGTCATATCATATCATATCATGTCATATCATATCATATCATCTCATGTCATGTCATATCATATCATATCATATCATATCATGTCATGTCATGTCATATCATGTCATGTCATGTCATATCATATCATGTCATGTCATCTCATATCATATCATATCATATCATATCATGTCATGTCATGTCATGTCATATCATATCATATCATATCATGTCATGTCATATCATATCATGTCATGTCATATCATATCATATCATATCATATCATATATCATAGCGTACCCCAATCACAAAGCCTATGTACAGTACAGTACGATTCGCTGCTCCCCGAGGGATCTCCATCCAGATTCGATTCCAAGGCTTCCGTTTCTGCCTCTGTAGCCTCTCCTGACGGGCTGAGTCACGAGGTGTCCAGATGAATCCGGTCGGGATGAAATGGGATGGTTTTCCCCACCTACAGTAAAAACCAAAAAGGAAAGAAACGGGAAGTGCGGTTGGTATATCAAAAGTTGCATTGTTGACCCTGAACCCAACCAGTCCCTTTACCCAGATGGGATTGGTTCGATGGTGTGCTGAAAATGACAAGTCAGTTGAAAGTCTCTGGGAACCCCAAACACCAATCACACGATACTCTAATTTTTACACACTCGACTGTTTGAATCGAATCTTTATAATATGTTCTTATGTTTTTATGTTTTTGTATATATGTTTTTTCCCCCTAATATCAAATAATCCCAGAGAAACCCTAGTGTTATTTCTAGAAGGTATTTCACATGATCTTCTCCCAGCTCACCACGCCTTTGCAATCTCCTCAGCTTTGAACTCATCATCGGCCTAGGTAAACAAAAACTGGCGTTGAAACCCGCCAGAAACGTCAAGTCATCCTTTTTTCTGCTGGTTGGTTGCGAACTGGATTCCCATTATGGGTGATAACAAACGCCCACAAATCAAATACTCCAACCCTCTAGGGTAACTACTCAACTAGGGTTTTGGTCACTGCTCAAATGTAGTTTTTGATATCGGAGATTGCGGAATTTCAGGCATGGAGTGATGCACCATGTACTGCTTCCCCAGTGAAGACAGGTTAAAAAGCTTCCCCGGAAAAACATAGCCAGTGATGACATGGCCGAACAAACAATTGCAAGCATTATCGTCCTGTCAAAAAACAACCCCAAGCAGGGCCGCATGAATTTGTGGTTTGTCTTTTTCTGGCTCTTACTGCAAGTGTTTGTTGGAACTTTTTCTGGTTCTTACTGCAATGTGTTTGTTGGAGTCAACGCCCAACAAAACACATGATTGGTTTTTCTTTGCGGTATGCCTCTTGTTGGAGCTGCATTTGGTGGATAAATGTCCATGTCCAATACTGACAATAAATCATATAAATCTGTATTTTTGGGTTCGCCTGGAAATAGGCTACCCCAAAATCCACTGATTCATTATTGATTAAGATTTCCCGTATTAAAGGCAATAAAGTTTGGTCGTATAGTCTTTGCTCAGAAACATGTTGATATCATATGTTGTTGGTTATATATCCCATGGTCTCTCCATAATTTATGTGTGCTTCTTGTAGCCACAAATTTATCGGCCAACCAGACCACTGAAGCCAAATGGCCATCTTCATGGCCAAGAGCGGCTTGTCACGAATGGCCTGCGGCCACAACTCGAAACTTACCGGGCGGGCACAAAAAATAGAAAGGTTTCAGCTGGTGCTTTTGACTAGTCAATTTAACTGTGGTTTTTGCTGGGGTGGACAGGCCTTATGGCATAATTCCCCAATAGATTTTGATGGTGCAAGTTGTATATTATTGTGGACACTTGGCACCGCATGCTTCGCGGCAGCAGAGCAGCGTGGCAGGTCAGGTGAAGCGGACAGGTGCGGTAGTCAAGCAGATGTGTTTCGAGCCGCGGCGAGCCCGACAGCCAAATTTGCCTTGCAGTTGCTGGCAGGGGGCATTGTCCTGGCCGCCAATCCTGTTGATTTTGCAACAGGCCAGACAATTTGACAGGTGCTGGGGGAAACCACCGTTTGCTGAATCCTTTTGTTCAAGTGGGTGGCCATTGCGCAAGGCTCAACAAAAAACCTTGATCCTGGTGCGGAAAGGAGTGGGGAGAAAAACGTCAAGCGCGACTCCCAGCCATCCGTGTAGACCAGACGCAACGTCGCTCTCTTCCGGCAGTCGCAAGCTCAAGCACCACTTCGGCCCAAGGCCCCTTGATTGAAGGGCTTGTGCTTAGGACTGGCAAGCACACATTGTTCCCACGTTTGCCCATCAACAAAATCCACCAGCGTCGTCAACCGGAATCTTCCAACGTCAGGACCAGAAGACCATCAACGCTGCCGTTGGTTGCGTGCGTCACACAACAGCCACATCTAAAGGGTTCCAAGGCATCTTGAGGCTGGCGATGCAAAGGAGGAGCAACCTCTTCATCCATTCTATAGGCAGCACTGCGATGCCACATCCAGCGAAGTTCTGAACCAAGGGAAGCTTCTCAGGTGCTCTCACAAATCAGAAGCAGCGGCCCAAGTGAATCCAGAGAGGATGCAAAAAAAGTAGCAAGTGATCGACTCCCCAAAGTGGGTGCACGGTGCAGGCAGGAACCATGATGGTGAAACGTCGAGGTTCAGGTGTAAACAGCCGCACCACTGGAAGGACTCGACTGTCACGGCTGGTACGTGCTGTATAACTAACCCATGGTAGATATTTGCCGGTGATCTTATATAAACTTATAACGAGGGGGGTCCTCTTTGTACCGTAAACGCTGCCATAGAGTTGGGGTTGGAAGACAACTTTCCTCTTGGACGTTGAGGCCTTGGTCAATTAAAAAAAGAAGAAAACAATGAGAGGTCAGCTTTTGGTATGCGACTTCCATCATTCACCTATATACTACAGTTTTCCTATTCCTTTGAAAGCAGAAGTGCAGTTGTAGTTTCATGAAAGATTGTGTATATATATATATCAAGTTCCATCGTGAAATAGTATCCTTATCATTCCACTACATATGTATATACAAATATATACACAATATATATATATACACTATCCCATTTAACGATACCATGGTATACCTCGGCAAATGCCTCGATTCTGCTGATCATCTTTTCCACCTCGGTGCGGTGGGGTTTCTGAAGAAACCCCTCCAAAAACCCTCTGGTACACAAACAAAAAGCTATTGAAAATGGCCCAGTCGAAATAGTTTGATAGTTGATAAATCCCCATTTAAAATGGTGGATCTTTCCATAGCTATGTAAACGTTTACCAGAGGGTAATCAACCAACCAATGGGAGACATCTATGAAATCACCTCCGCAGCGTTTTCGGCCGGGGCCGCGTCCTTAGCCGCCCGGCCGGGCGCAGCACCAGGCGGTTCGCGTCGTTGGTGAACATTAGGGAGGCCGTGATGAGCAGAATCATCACGAAGAACGTGTTGCTGAGGCCAAACCTGAAACGATTCTCACCAAAAAAGAGGTTAACCATGAAAAATGGTAGTTTAACTATTAATATTAACTATTAAACTACCATTATAGTTTAATATAAGAGATTCGTTTCTGAGATTTTGATATTGATCAGTCACTTATCCTCTGGTGTCATCAAACATGACAATTTAAGTTCAAAATCACCGATTTGACAGAGAAGGTAGACATAGCTGTGGAAATCAACGAGTCAGATGTTGGATTATCCAGCAAGTCGAACTAGTTATAATATCATGAGGAGTTTTCCAGGGAAATATAGAGGAAAACTGGGGAAATGCCGCAAAAAAAATATCGGAGTTTCCCTTTTCATCTTCCCTGAGTTCTGAAGTGGCACCAACCCAGGTAGGGAACTTCAGAGAAACCAGTTATATTGGTGTCTGGGACAAAAGAGAGGTGGGTTTTCTATACCAACAGGAATTGGTAAATGTTCTAATTGAACATCACCCAAATAACATTGGGCATATATATATATACATATATTCATATAGTATCTATATCTATATATAGTATAACTATATCTATATAGTATATCTATATCTATATAGTATATCTATATCTATATAGTATATCTATATCTATATAGTATATCTATATCTATATCTATATAGTATATCTATATATATATATAATCAACCAACCTCTGACAGTTGGCCACCAATAGTGCCACAACCAATTCTTCCTCCTGCGTCCGGCGTCCCGACGCCGCAGTGCTTCGATTGAAGGGACGCAGGTCGAAGTAAAAGGTCAAGTAAGGCGATTGCCCTGGACACGTGGACAGGATCAATATAGGTCATCATTACCAATGATTAGTTAATGATTAGTTAATGATTAGTTAATGATTAGTTAATGATTAGTTAATGATTAGGTAATCTTACCATCTGGATTAGGATCAATATAGGTCATGATTGGCAATGACAGGAGCAACAGGATCATTAGTAATCATGAGATTGACCAATCATTACCAATTGCTAATCATTACTAATCTGGACAGGATGAGGTCATGACTTACTGGTGCTAAACGTAGGAATGGATGGGTTGCTGGGGGTTGCTGGGATGATTATTACTAGTGATTGTGGCTCATTCCCTCATTCCCTGCTAAGCACAAGTAAGATGATTGGCAGCATTCTCTGGAGTTGTTTCTGATTAGCAATGATGAGTAATGATTGGTAATGATTGGTAATGATTACTAATGATGGCAAATGGCAGGATAATTGGTGATTACTGGTAATTTTTTCTGGTGATTATCAAGAAAGGATCATAATGATTAATGGAAATAATGGTAATGAAAGGATCAAGATTATTGGCAGGATTATCTGGTGGTTACTAATGATTGGTAATCATTAATAATGATTGATTATGATTAATTATGGTTATATGATGATTATATGATTATCAATATGATGATTAACAATGATTAATGATGATTCCTTTCTGATTTTCAGGACTTTTCAAGATGGGGGTTCCTAAGTCATGATGCCCAATATCCGAGAATCACAGGGCCATGATGACTGGGGTACCATGTTAGGAAACCTCCAGATCTGTAAGGATTACCAGAAATGCCATGGAGGTTTTCTGTATGTCTAAAAAAATCATCCAACTCTGGGTCTGTCGTAGCTAAGTGGTTTCTATGTTTTTTCTTTTCAGATGCTTACAACAATCACGGCTTCGTAACATTCAGTTTCGGTGGGTCCTACATGCGCAGTCTTGTCAGTTTTGGATGTTTCGGAACTGGTATTTGATCTCCTAATGAAAGGGGAGATGATATAGGAAAACAATCCCACTTACTACCCATGGATACCCTAATGGCTTTGTTTGTGTGTCAGTGTGGTAACTTCAGCCCTCCATTCTCTGGTAATCGATTAAAGCACTCCAATCACACCTGCCATTCTGGCTACTTTGCCCATGTTCAAACTCGAAGCTCTTGAATTTAAATCTGATGGTTACCACATCCTTGTTTTGTCCATGTGGTAACCACATCCGGTTCTTTACATTTCGATTCCACATCCTTTATCTTACTGGTGCTTAACAGGAAAACGATCTTCACAATCATCCCATTCTTTGTGAAAAACATGATACAGTGAAACAGTATTTTGTTTCCATTCAACAGTTCTAGACACGGTGACAGCCTATTAAATGATTGAATGCCCCTGAAATGGGTGTCACGTCACTTACTATAGTTATTTACTATTGGGATATATCCCATTCAATTTACCCATTTATGTAAGATTTACCAATGCTATTTTAATATTTACCCGAGTAATTCTTGATAATTGGTTACTAGAGTAAAGGATCCATAGGTAGTAAATGACAATCCCCAATAGACTGTATTTGCTGGTTGCGTCATTTACTCAATGGGAATTCCAGGATCCTAAAATGGAGGTACTGTACATTACTGTACCATATTTCTGGCCATATTTTGTGGGGATATTCCCTTACATAGCCCTAAAAAATAGACCTTATAGATGGTAGGTACCTCCAATGAATCGGTTCCTGAAATGGCCATTGATTTACTGGTGCTATCCCCATGATGAAAAACAATCGTGTAAATCTTCGTAGCCAAGCCTTGTGACATGAGACTCGGAGCAAAGGCCTCGTTTCGGAGACCGCCGCGGCTTCGAATATAGATGTCCCATGGACAATGTATGGAAAAATATAATTTATATCATATCTATATATACGTATATATATATATGTATATATATATATATACTGGTAAGGTGAAACTTTTGAAAAATCCCAGCTCCAAAGTTGGGTCAAACTCCACCAACCATGGGGCAATGGTCATTGAAAAAATCACGATCAAATGGTTTGGATTTATGATCGGATTTAATTGGTGTGGATTTTGAACCCCAAAATGGTATGTTCATTATTTCCTGTGAATTTAATGATGGTCATTGGAGAAAATGGTTTGCACAAAGAATTGTTTTCTTTAATTCATGCAAACTTTCTCAAAGAGATGTTGAGGTTTTCCCAGAAATCCTGCTTTCCAAAGCGAGATCTTCATTGATACCCTCTGGTAAACATACCAAAAAACGATGGAAAATCACCATGTTTAATGGGTAAATCACCATTTTTAGTGGGAAAATCACCATTTTTAATGGGAAAATCACAATTTTTAATGGGAAAATCACCATTTTTTCCATGGAATCCCTGGGGTCTTCCCATCAAAACATCCGGCCGAAACCTGGCGTCTTGGCGAACCTGGATCTCGGTCAACCGCAAATCCAAGGGGCAGTAGATCTGCCACGTTGGGACGGCAGATAAGCGACGTAATGGGCAATGGGCAATTAGCTCTGTGGTGTTTATCAATGTGTATATATATATATATATGTCTATCTATATATATATATATGTCTATATGTATATATATATATATATCTGTGTATATCTATATATCTATATCTATATATCTATATCTATATCTATATATCTATATCTATATCTATATATCTATATATCTATATATCTATATATCTATATATCTATATATCTATATATCTATATATCTATATATCTATATCTACATCTATATCTACATCTATATCTACATCTATATCTACATCTATATCTATATCTATATCTATATCTATATATATATTGCTATGTGTGTGTATATATATATATATATATCATGTTCATATGATTTGTAGATGTCTGGGTGTGTCTGAAAATGGGATCCAAGTCACTTTGTCGAATTGGGGATAGTGACACAGGAATCCATTGGAATAGGGGATTTCCCCTAAAATCTCAGACAAACCCATATGGGGTTTCCATGGTCATAGGGGTACCCCCATAGCTGGATGGTTGATTTCATGGAAAATCCCAATCTAAACTGGATGATAACTAGGGGTAGCCCTATTTCAGTAAACCTCCATATGATGCGTGTGTAATCTTTTCTTTGGAATCTACGATCATTTTCTGAAGAACTGGGATATGATGAAAACCCACCGCGCAAGCGCGATCCTTGCAATCACCGAAGTAAACCGAAAATTCCATGAGTCCATCCCGTTGAGCATTACTCACCATTTCTTGGTCATAGTTTCCCCGGGGTAAATCCAATGATGACCAAGAAATTAGGGATTTACTGTTAGATTGGATTGCCCAATTAAGAACCGGGGTTGGATGACTAACAGCAATCCCGGGTTGTTAATTGGGCATCTCACCGGGGTTGCCCAATTAGGGATTGCTCTTAGGCTTGTGAAAATCGATTTTGCCTCATTATACTCAAATAAACCATTTGGCTGAACCACCTCGGCGAGTGGGTAATCGAACGTGTTGTGGATTCTGTGTCGTGTTGTGTTTTTCAATGGATTTCATGTTTTTTTGGGTCACGTGTGCGTCTCATTTCCATTGGTTTGATTGTTTTCTGTGCACAGACCACTAGATTTGGGGGGCGTCATTTCACAGAAAACCATAAAACCAACGGAAATGAGACCAGAAAACATTTTAACCCCAGAAAAGTCCTCGAATTTTGGGGTTTCATTTCACCACTGGGGCCATAGAACTATGGCACCCGACATCTCCATGTTTCAGGGATTCCCAGCGCCAGGGCGCCATCCGACAGATGTACAGATCCCACCCCCAAACCCCCCGTGCAAGATGACAACTACACGTTCTGTTGTCCGTAGGCATAATCATCAACCAACAGATAAATGATGATAAATGTTTTGAAGACATCTGGATTGTTGCTATAATGAATCCCAAATTTGATTGCAGGTCATGATATGCTCGGCGAATGCACCCCGGATTCATCAACCTGGTTGATAAAGAATCCAATAGGTACCCCCAAAAAATTGCGTGGCTTCATCTGGAACTCAATTGGTCACCTCCCGAAAAAAAAAAAAAAACAGCGAAGGGGTGAATGAAAGTCCGAGGTTAACACCATATATTGGATGTATGCATTCATAACAAACCAAACTGGAGGTTTATGTTTGGGTTTACCTGGTTCCCACGTCCAATCGTCACTGCAATCAGGATTCTTGATTGCATGGCCGGAGAAGTCAATCGTACTTAGTTATATAAATAGTGATACTTTATTGATTAATTATATAAATCGTTGTCAATATTGATTGGCAAAGCTTGGCTAGATACTTTCCAAGGGTCGCGGTATCGCTTAAACCACCCAATTTGCATCGCTTAAACCCGCGTGATTTGCATCGCTTAAACCCGCGTCATGGAATCATACTCATCACCATCATCATCATCATCATCAAAATCATAATCATCAGCAGCAGCAGCATCATCACCACCAACATCATCATCATAATCATCATCATCATCATCAACGTCATCATCATCATCATCACCATCATCATCATCATCATCAATATCAATCATCATCATCATCATCATCATCATCATCAACATCATCGTCATCATCATCATCATCATCAATCATCATCATCATCAACATCATCATCATCATCATCAATATCAGTCATCATCATCATCATCATCATCATCATCATCAATCATCAATCATCAATCATCAATCATCAATCATCAATCATCAATCATCAATCATCAATCATCAATCATCAATCATCAATCATCCATCATCAATCATCAATCATCAATCATCAATCATCAATCATCAATCATCCATCATCATCATCATCATCATCATTATCATCATGATCATCATCATAACTTTCATGTCTTGTCCTTCTTCATCATCAACATCATGGACATCAATAACAGAGGACAGGTAGCAGATGAGGAGACCGCCTTGTTTGGTGTGACTCTTGTTTCTTTGTACATGTTTAATGTCAGGCAATGTAGTTACTTATGAAATGCGGTACAGCTCGTATGTAGCTGTACCTGAGGAAAAGCAATTGCTTGCAAAGAAAAGATTCGTACCTGTTTACTTCCTGTGTGACGCAAAGAAACCCTAAAGGGGTCGTACCTGTGTACTTCCTGTGTGACGCAAAGAAAGCCTAAAGGGGTCGTACCTGTGTGCTTCCTGTGTGACGCAAAGAAACTCTAAAGGTGTCGACATGTGTACTTCCTGTGTGAAGCAAAGAAACCCTAAAGGGGTCGTGCCTGTGAAACTGGCTGTGTGAAGCAAAGAAACCCTAAAGGGGTCGTAACTGTGTACTTCCTGTGTCAAGCAAACCCTACCAAAGGAGTGCTGGGTGCAGTGATGCAAATCGCTTGGGTCTAAGTGAGTCTTCTACTCCTACCCTTTCCAAGTTAACCTTTGTATCTAGCCAAGCTCATAGAAGGGGACACCCTTTCGACGACCAACTATCGCGCCTTGTAGTAGTTGGCATATTGAACTTCTTGAGCGATCAAGGACACTCCCACCAAATCCTGATACCAAACTGAGGAGTGGTTTTTCACTAAGGACCAGTTGAAACGGTTGAAACGTTGAGTCATGCAAACTTCACAATCTTGGGTCTTAGGGTCCATTTTCGCCTTCTTTTCCCAGGGGGTCCAATGTCAGATTTGATAGAGTTTTGGATGACGATAGTTGAGTTGGTTTCATTTCCGAAATAAAAAATAGAAAAGGGCATTGTTCAATTAAATATACACATAAATATATGTGTTATGTTATATCTATATCATCCGTTTCCCCTAGTAGCAAAACCCCCAAACCCCGGTTTAGTATCGATCTATTCAGTTGGGGTGTCCATATGGGGGGAAATTGATGTTCGGGAGAAGGGATTGTTGGATAAGAAAATGTTCGGGGGAAGTATTAGATAAGAAAAAGAAAATCATCGTCCAACCACCATTTGGGTTTGTCTGAAAATGGTGAATATCTCCATTTATTGGAGTTGTTCGTGGGGAAAATGACGTCTGAAAAACAATCATTTCGGGGGGGTTCTCCAAATTGTCAGACACCCAAGTATTCAATGTTGGAGAATCATTTATTGGATGTTAGCCTCTGGTAAACTAACAGTTCACTATGGAAAATCACCATTTTGAATGGGTAAATCAACTATTTCTGTGGTCATTTTCCATAGCTTTTTGTATGTTTACCAGGGGGTAACTCATTTTATCCAAAATGGGCTATCCCTCAATCTGCTTCATCAGCATTGTCCCGATTGAAATGACCATGAAAAAACAATTTCCAGACACACCCACGAGAAATCGTCGATTCTTGGTTATATATTACATCATATACCTATCTAATCCATGTATGGTTGGCGTGATATCCAAAAACCATCCAAATTCTCCGCATAAACAAAAAAAAACATGCATATATAGACACATTTATCTGGGTAAACTATAATATTTCACTAACCTGAATTAAAGCCATTTGGGGATGATTCCCCTTTCTAACCATGATTCCAGTGAGGTCGCAGTGAGGTCGTTATAATTTACCCTTTTGCTCGAGTCGAGAAGCCAACGGTCTATATTGGACCGTTGGGCTCTATCAACGAAGATTTGTGACACACTGGAGTGAAAGATCAGATTTATAATTTATCTATTATCTATTATCTATATATATATATACATATCTATATAATATATCTATAATATGTATACATATATATATATATATACGTATGTGACTATCCCTATATTCTCCCTATCAACCGTCCCCATCTTGGCGGAAGCCCAACTCCCGCCTGTGAAGAGGTGGCACATCTGCGGTCCCAGGGCTGCGAGAGCATCTCCTGACCCGTCTCCCGGAATTCATGGATTATCACCCCACTTCATAGTGATTCATAGGGATCAATAATGATTACTAGTGGTTTCTAGTGATTACTAGTGATTACTAGTGATTACTATTGTTTATCAAATAAGGATCAATAGGGATGATACTAGCATTCTGCAATTTCGTAAATAGGATCAATAATGACTACTAGTGGTTACTATAAATAGTGATGAATGTCATGATGTATAATGATTGGTAATGATTAATAGGGATTAGATGGAAATGTTCAATGGATTGGCTTTCTGGGCGAAATCTACGGTTGAAACGATGGTTTTCACCTACCAAGTTGGATTGCGGTGTTCTCTAATTTTTGAAAATCTTCAAAACAAAAAAAATCAACATTTTAAAATTCATCAGAAGTATGAATTGGGGGAATTAGCATCGACATTGTTGAACCCCGAATGTTGTTTGTTCCGAATAGTGTACTTGAATGCAGCCATCAAATTCGCATGTCTATTGGTATGCAGTAAACCGTAGCCACCAGCAAGAATCTGTGCAACGATCATCTTTTGGGCCTTGATTTTCATGATCCAGAGATGGATCTGTGTTGAAATAAATAAAAACAAGAAAAACATCTTACAATGTGAGGCCCCCCAGTCATGTTTCCTGGGCTATAAACCCCAGTAACTCTAGTTACAAGTTATAACTATAACTGTCATAAACCATAGTGACATTGGAGCTATAAACCCACCAACGTAGCAATTTCGAAAAAAAAAACGGGGTGGCCTACATTGTAGGATTTCAACGGATAACGAAAAATCAGGTCATCGAAGCATTGATGCTGGGCATGGTACAGAAAAATGGTGATTTTTGTTGGCTCCTTGAATCAACCAAATATGTAGCTTCCAAGTGTTTCACCTTCCATTTCAAACCGGCCATTAAAAAAGTATGTTCAAGTCACCCTGTGGATCCACTCCTTGATGCTAGAGGGCATCGTGCCGTAAGCAGTCAAGTAGTCCTGGCCGAATCAAGGCTTCAAGTGGTGAAAAAAGTCCGGAGTGATGTTCATCACCTCCCAATGGGGTCGGTCAATGGGGAGTCAACACCGGACTTTTCTGACGCAACCGGTCATGTTCGATGAGTTGCGATGCTGAAGGTCGCAACATGTCGCAGCTCTTTGAAAATTCTTTCTCCCATTTGAATTCTCGCAGCCAAATATCTTGACATCTTACCATCTGGTTATTTAACATAGCCATGGAAAATGGACTATTTATAGATGGTTTACCTATTAAAAATGTTTTTCCATGGCTATGTTAAATAACCAAATGGTAAATCTTCCGATGCTTTTTGCATTTCGAATGACTTCATATGACTGACACAGCGAATCCGATGTGCAACGATTCAACCTGAAATCATCCAGCCAAAGTTGGGGCACCAATTTGAATGGACAGTTTAACCACATGTTTGGCTGAAAAAATCAGCCAAAAAAAAAATGGAAAACATCAAATCCCCACGAGTTGGCTATCCAAAGTACTCCCTCGTTCACCCTCGGTACCCTCGGTACCATCCGGGTCACAATTTCTGTTCCAGTCCATCTTGTTGTTGATTCAGTAGGAATTCCCAGTTATTCACAGGTCATGGATGATGACCATCCTACATATATCAGATAGAGTAATGCCCAAAAAAGCTTATGGCCTTGATAACGGTCCTTTAAAAAGCACCGAAGAAAAAAGAAAATACACAGAATTTGCCAGAAACTTACTTTTTCCAGTGATTTTCAAAATTCCCAAGCAACATTTACCAACCCCTGGGCCAACTTTTTTTTCGGTTTGGGTCACTGCTGGTTCTGCGTCCTCGCTAGTCGATTCCACCCAGCTGTCCAACACGCCAGAGCTCATCTGGGTGTACTGCGAAAGGATTGGGATCGCCCCTGGATTGATGGAGCTATTTTTCTGGTTCTAGATTCTACCCTCTGGTAATGACTAACATGGCTATTGAAAATGACCATAGAAATAGTTGATTTACCCATTCAAAATGGTGATTTTCCATAGCTATGTTAGTTTACCAGAGGGTATATCCTAGATAGAATTTGCTGGTTCTAACAGATCTATTTTTTGGATTGAATAGATTGATCTATATTGGATTGGATCTATCATATTGGATTGAACAAAAAAACTGCAGGTGTTCAGAAGCAAAAAAAGATCATTCTAGATCCTAGATGTCCTAGATTCCCATAATCAGAAAATCTTCTGGCTAATCGTATGGCTAAGAAATTGCTAGAATCATATGCTTCATCTTCAAAAATCTCCTCACCGGTTTCCATCGCTGTCCTCTAAATTGCTGCTAAAGTTCGCATCCGAACTCTGACCTCGAAGGTGGCGATTGCTGTCTGAAATTTGGAGGTAGCCTCAAGACCAAAATAGAATATTTCATCATGTGGCAGTGTGTCAAAACCTTGTACCCCTGGTGAACATCAAAATAGCTGGTAAATGGATGTTCATCCCCCTAAAAATGGTATTAATAGATATTGATCCATACCCATGTCATTTCAACGGCCATTTGGATAACATCCCCTATTTTCACAGCTGTTTGACGCGATTCAACACATTCTGATTGCAGATGTTCAACAAGTGGTTTGGAGATCATCAAAATTGGGCTAGAAATCCAGGTCACATTTTACTCCTATTCTCCCAATCTCCCATCCCCCCAAATCTATCCAAATCTGACCCCCTCCCAAAGATGTCGACTGATCCCCTAGTCCCAACGGTTTCTTGGGGCTGTCGAATTGTTTCGACCGGATTCTTCAAGTCAGAATCGATCTGCCAAAAATCCCAGGCCTGCGAGGCCAAACCAGAAGAGCGAGCCTGCAGGGAGATGACCAAGGGGGAAGTGTGGTCAGGAAGTCACCAATTTTGGAGAAACCTCTTGAAAAAGGTCCAAAAAGATCACTTAGGACGACTTTTTAAGGACCACTTAGGCCGACAAAAAAAAGGATGTGGATTCACACCTTTAGGGGACAACTAGAGTCACTAGAGGTACAGGATCATGTTGGGATCCATTGGCTACACACCTTTGGGGTTTATCTTTAGGGCTGTGGATCTAAAACAGCTGACAACTGGGACCTGGGAGTGTGTATGTGTGTGTGTGTGCACGTATTCATACTATTACATATATTTACATACTATATGTATATATAATTATATAATATATAATTAATCGTCATAATATTTACATCATATATATATATATGTCATATCATATCATATCATATCATATCATATCATATCATATGTATATATACATATTATATATATATATATACATACATGTGTATATATATACATATATATACATATATATATATACATATATATATATATACATATATACATATATATATATACATATATATATACATATATATATATATACATATATATATATATGTACCTACACACAAATACGTACATTACATCATACCATTGTGTAAGCGTGGCCACTTCTAAATATTGAAAAAATGGCTTGAGAGGTGAGGTGTGCACTCTTTTTCGTGGGAAAGATTGATTGTTTATGGGTACAAACCCCACCACGCATGGGGATATAATATAAAATGTAGAACCAACAAAATGATATTCCGGTTTATCTGATTTAAATTCATAGCAGTTTTATAGGGAAATGGTGATAATTCAAGGAATTATTTTCCAAGAAACAGGGGAACCATATCCCCTCCAAAGAAATCAATGACCCGGCAAAGAAACTGAAAAGTTAGACAGTTGTTTGACGCAGCGCCTAGGAACAGCCCGGCGCAATTGCTTCCAGGGCAGTAGGTGCCCTGCAGCGCGAAATCGATGTAGTAAAAAACTTGGAATCTGCACTGCTTCTTGAAGGACTGCATCCCATATCTTTAAACCATCAGGGCCTCATTCTAAACATCAATCGCACTGCTTATCTCAACATGCAGAGCTGAGGGAAGCACCCCATGGTTGCCAACATACCAATTGTGGTAGTAGATGTACTTCAGAAACGCCTAGGCAGAAAAGCTCTGAGAAAGTCCAGGGCTCAGTCCGGAACTCACCCAAACATTCCAAGTACTACGCGGTTCCCTCTCATGTACCATGATCACTATGCATTCCTGAGGCAAAGGCATTGTCGTACCTTCCAGGCTGAAACTTGGTGGCACACTTAACAAAACCACCTGTGCTGTTGGGGATACACATCAACTTACAGGGGATATGGCAATCCCCATCCGTGCTGCTTAAAGTCTTCATGTTGGTTCGAGAATTCCAATTTTGCCATGATCTGGGTCCATGTTCATACTAATTCTATCTGTAAGAATTCCATTTAAAATATATATATATGTATACATATATATATATAAACAAAAATAAAAACTTTTCATGTTAGGTGTTCGCTCAAGATTCCCCAGATTCTTCAGTTCCAGCTCCCAGGCCGTGGCTCACGTGATGCTGTTGGCCGTGCTATTCTTCAACAGCTTCGCTTCAAAGGCCTCCATTTCTGATGGAATTTCAACCCTGAGTCACGGTAGCTGCTTATGGCAGGTAAACACCACATGACATTGATGGTTGTAGATGGTTCTAGATGGTTATAGATGATATGTTTATAACATGATGATGATTGTGTATATATATATATATGTATACATATATATATATATACAGATTGTATGTGGTTGTATGTGGTTACATATGGATATATATGGTTATGGCTATGTCTCGGGAGATCCCTTCATCCCAAATGGAGACATATGGAGAATATATGCAGACTCTCATGGGGATATGAAAAAATATTACCCTCTGGTAATTTGTTACATGGCTATTGAAGCCATGGCCCATAGAAATAGTTGATTTACCTATTGAAGATGCTGATTTTCCAGTTCGCTATTGTTAGTTTACCAGAGGCTAATAGATTCTAATAGTTATAAGTTATATATCCATATTACTAGTTCATTCTATATGGCTATGGGTCAATACCTATAAGTACCATTTTAGTGGGATGAACATCCATTTACTGTAGGTACCAGCTATTTTGATGTTCACCAGGGGTACAAGGTTTTGACACACTGCCATATTACACGGCAAAAAAAAGGGATTGTTTGTTGGAAAATACACCGTTTTGCAAAGCAAAAAAAAACGATCTGGCTCGTCGATGATCATCTGCCAGAGGATGGCGAAGGACATTTTCTTGTGTCGCAAATGGCTATATAATATTGCTGTATATATATATATATATTGTATTTATATATATATATTGTATATATATATATTGTATATATAATATATATTGTATATATATATATTGTATATATATAATATATATTGTATGTCTGTATATATATATATATATATCGACATAGCATGTTGTATCCTCAATGTTCCATGTTTTCTGGCTATACTCCTCATCAGGCAATTCAAAGTGACTGTTTCTCCCCGGTTTGAAGTTGTTCAAGCAAGGTGCTGGTCGCTGCACAGCCAAGCTGCTGGTCCCTCAACAGATGATTGGAAAGCTTAATTCGTAGCTCCTTGGCTCCCCATTAAATAGAGAATACGGATACCCCAAACGCTCCGAATCGCTCCCTCCTAACTACTGGATAGTTTTGGACGTGTCTGGACAAACCCAACTTATCACAGTTGTATGTCTCATGATATCCAAAATGTGCTAGTCCCATTACCCTCCTAACCCAAATTGGCTTTGTCTACCCCCAAAGTTGATAGCTGTATCATCAATTCATATGAAATACCATCTGGTAATTTAACATAGCTATTGAAAATGGCCATAGAAATAGTGGATTTACCCATTAAAAATGGTGATTTTCCATAGTTTTTTGTATGTTTACCAGAGGGTAACCATGTTCCGGGCTGAAAAACCACCATTTCCAGGTCCACAACGAGCCCTATTGGTGGATCCGACGACTTCAACGCCCCAGCTGCCAGGCCTCCCAGACCTGATTGGCGCCGTAGACTGCGGAGTAGGGAGTTTGATCGGCCTGTCACGACGAGTTCACACTGCAGGCTGTCAAGGTAGATGTGTGTATATATAATACATGTGGATAGTTATCGATGCATATTATCTATATATATATGTATGTATGTATATATATATATATGTGATGTATGTATTCGTGTGTGTACTGTATACTGTATGTGTTTGCTGAATCTATTTTGCGAACCACTTCTTGTTGGCGACCCCCAAATTCAAAGAAGGAACTCCAACATGGGTGTATTCGAAAATGGAAGATAGATGTGATAGACCGTGATAGACCTCTCAAATTATTGCCCCATTTTTATAGGGAAAGTATGGGTACAAGTCAAAACCCTGGTAGCCTTCTGTTCACACTCTATGGATATCCACATCCATACCCTCAGGCACATGGCCCATTGTAGGTGTTGAACCATCCCCATATTTCATGACATCTCCAGATTCTCCAGTATATCAGTATATCCCAATCATTGCCCATCTCGGGAAAATATGGCTATGGGTCAAAATTAAGTACCTGGCTTTCCCCACAGATTGGAATGTCTATTTAATTTTAGGTTGCGAAAACAATGCCATCTGCACCATCCCCCAATTCACCTTATTTTTATAGGTGGTATATATAAACCATTCCCAGTCATGGGTGGTTTTATTAACTGGCAGTGTGTCAAAACCTTGTACCCCTGTAGTTCACATCAAAATAGCTGGTAAATGGATGTTCATCCCCCTAAAAATGGTATTAATAGGTATTGATCCATACCCAACTTAGTATTGACCATCCAATTATTGGGAGCCCTAATGACTTGACCCATATAGCCGCGCCGTTTCTTTGGAGAGCAAGGGTTGGATGAGCAGCATGGCCAAAATTAGGCCTGGCCGGCCAAAAATAGGCCTGGGATTGTTCAGCAAGAAAAAACGCTACGCTACGGGATGGAAGTGAAAACTTTCACCAAGAAAATATCGTGGGAATTTGGGATTTACCTTATAGGTAAACTAGAGATAGAGGTGCAAAGCCCATGGTTGCCGTAGAAAAATAATCTACAAATGGTGGGTTTTCCACATCCATGTTAGTTTACAGAAGGGTAAAATCAACAACAAAACTACTTGGCATTCAAAGATAATTTGGGATTTCACCAAGAAACTCTGGGGTTAATCGGCAACACGTGGATTTAACCAACACAAACTTGGAGACAGAGGATCCCAGCATTCGGTGCTACACCAGTCTCACCAGTCTGGTTTCATTTCTCTGTACCAAGTCCATTGATTTGACGCAATTCGGATCGGATTTGTCCCAAATTCCTATGGATTTGTCCCAAATTCCTATGGATTTGTCCTAAATTCCTCTGAATTCCCATGGATTTCATTCCTATGGCATTTGTCCCAAATTCCTATGGATGTTTGATGATTTTTCTCCGCGTTTCGGGGACAACAGGTCCAGACCCGGATCCAAAGGCACAGATGACACGTCGCGTGGTCATCTCTGAGAGCTTCTTCCCGACGCGACCTGGAAACGATGGGAATTCAGCTGGAACTGGTGGGGTAAACCATCAGTAAACCATCAAAAAATGTGGGCGAAACCATCAGAAATTGGGATGGATAGCCGGATATCCCGGATAGCCAATTTTTTCTAATTACATGAAAAATCCTGGTTTAGTTCAAGAATCTTGAAATTGGATCGTTTATAGCCAATGTAACATTAAATGCCCCCCTGTATGGGCAAGGGAATACATACCATACCACAACCCATGGATTTCTGCAGGGTATTTAGTATTAATTAAGGGGGTTGGGATGAGAAATGGAGGTTTCCATAGTCATGGGGGATCCCCAATAGCTGGATGGTTTATAGTGGAAAATGCCATTAAAACCGATGATAACTAGGGGTAGCCCTATTTCAGGAAACCTCCATATGTCCATCACTGTTTCTACTTTGCTGGGATTCTTCTTTCCGTCACTCATTTTTTCGGGTGGTGCAAAATTTGAAGCGAAGTAGGATCATCATCCAAAGTACGAGAAACGAAACACCAAGCAGCTCTGAACTTTCGGATCAAAATTGGATGACCCCAAAATGGATGAATCACCAATGACTGGGACCTTCAGATCCGGAGAACCCCAAAGAATTGCAACTCTTCTCTAATTCCAATGTTGAAGAAGTCCCAAGGTTGGTTGAACATCGCAAAAAAATCCTCATCTCTTGTTGCTTAACGACCTTCTTTTTGTTGCAGAACAACACCAGGGAAACCCAAAATAACGTTCGGTCCGCGTCGTTTTTCATGTTCGGCGCGGTCAAGGCACTTTCCGTGTCTTTGCCGTGCCCATTCTCTAAGGCTTCATAGTCGGCTTCATCCCAGTCATCCTACAGCAGTCCAAGCGTCCAAGGTCATGCTGAGTGGGATCGGACTGAAAATGAGAAACATGTTATCCCTTCCAAGGTTTTTTATACATAGAGGGTGTATGTTCCACCATATCTATAGTTGTGAACAATTATACATATATATATATATATAGATACAATCATGTTCACTCAATGTTCACTTCCATGAATCCAAGGCGCACCAGGAAATCCAAACCTCCAAACTATCCAAAGCCAAGGCGTGATGTTGTATTCCTCATTGAATGGCAAAAGATCAACCTGCTGTATCCTCATCAAAGCAAGGTCTAAAGGCCGGGCCAGGCGGCCAGAGATGTCTCTTATATTCTCCGAGATAAATGAGATATAGCTGCTATAACTGCTCCCAAAACATTCAGATTGAGGTGCGTTTCGCGGCTAGACAGGACCACAAAAACAGATTGAACTGTACAGCATGGTATGCCTTTTTCAAGGGATCCTGGACTCCTTCAAAATGGACTTGTCAAGGATGGCCCTTTTGGTGGTTTGGAAGTATCATAAACAACTTCCTTGGGTTTGTCGGCGAAAAATCCAGACTCTTCCGGGACCCAGTTGTCGACTTGGCGCGGCCAAGTCAGCCTGGAGAGAAATTGGAATCTGGGTTCACCATCCCCACCATCCCCACCATCGCCACCATCCCCTTCATCGCACCTCCAGCTCACCCATCCTTTTTCTTCTTTCTCTCTCTGCCTTGCGCTGTTTCGCCTGTGATTTTTCGGAGGAGCCGAGCCACAGGGGATGGGAACACCAAAACAGGAGGGATCCAGTCCGACTGGGTATCCACGGAGCCTTCCCCTCCGCATCCTGGTAAACACTAAATGCTTAACATGGTAAATCCAAAAACAAGCCCCCATATATTGTAAGTTTCACCACTATTGACTCGTCTCTAAGTGATGTTTCCATGTATTGGTTGAGGGAATATCTACAGGAAACCATCGGAAATGTACCATCAAACGTGGGGGTTCCTTTCATCCAAGTCTGGGAACATTGAACATGTATGAACACGTTAGAACATGTTGAACTGCCTAAAACCGGAGATTTAGAAGCTACATCCTCTTTCTGGAGTGTGTTTGTAGAACATGGTCCGAGCGGAGGATTCGGGCCTCGTAGTAAGCTTTGTAGAGTTTCAGGATTCGAACCTCGGTAACGCCATGCAAATCTAGGGGTCTAAGCATGGCAAATAACATATTATAACTATGTTAACATGTTATAAACCCATTTAATAAGTGTGTGTGTATATATATATATAACATGTTATAACCATGGCATGGCCTAACCCCCAATAAGTTGGAATGATGGTTTCGAGACATCCCAAGACGCACCTTAGACGTATCTTTTTGAGTCAATTTGGATCACCCAAAAACCGTTGCACCGAGTTCGGCTGGACATGAAGGATCCCCCAAAACGGTTTGTCCTTGGATTTGCCGCATTGCCCAATGGATGAGCCATGGCCATAGCCCAGGGATAGCCCCAGGCTCCCCGGCTAACCGCAGCACACGCACCACACGACTGGCGCGGGCGCCTACTCTCGCTGTCCTGGACCGGCCAAGTAAAGTTCTTGGGAGAAAGTTGGTCATTGGAGTCATTGGTCTCTTAAAGAACTTGGAGGAGCCAAAACCGCCTGGTGACCTTAGAACTACCCCAAAGAGTCTCCAATCATGGATTGTCACTAAGTCTCTACTGCTATGGTAGGTGAAATAAGTTGTTTGACTTTGGGGTTGCTCAGCAAGAAATGTGTAAATCCACGGATATAACTTATGCTGTAACATGATATAACCTAGGAAAGCATTGGCCTCCGGGACAGGATTGATTGATCGACCAGAAAACCGCTCATCTCTGGCTTCGCAGGAATTGGAGACCTGACTTGTTGAGGATACCAAATCTCTCCCCGAGCTTTCGGATTTTTCACAACAGGTCAGTAATTCGCATTTCATGGCCCTCACACCTTACCTAACTGCCTTATATACCCTCTGGTAAACTAACATAACTATGGGAAATCACAATTTTCAATGGGTAAATCCACTATAAATGGTCATTTTCAATAGCTATGTTAAATTACCAGAGGGTAACTTACCCCAAACCACACCTCTCCCCATTTTAGCCACTTTGAACCCACGGAACCCGTCGCCTGCCGGAGCGCAGGTCTGAGGCGTCGCTGTTGTCCCCCTGACGTGACGGCCCCACATGGCCCACTGCCAGCCGGAAAATCCCAGCGGCCCACAGGCCCAAAGCGAAGCGCCGGGCCTGGATCGCCTCGCTAATCCAGGTGAGATCCAGCCTTGGGAAAGCCAAAGAATATGGAAAAAACATGGAAAAAAAAGATTGTTTGAAATGGTTCGAAATGGTTTGAAATGGTTTGAAATTGTGAGCCTCAAATCCCACTTTCTAAGAGGCATTTGATGATTGTTTCTTCCTTTGGCATCATAATTTGGAGGGCCTTCCCCAAATTTTCGACATGTTTTACGTGAGAGCCAAGCAGGAGCGTAGCTGTGCTGATCACATCCAGCAGAAAGAAAAAACTCAGGTAGTAGTCCACCTTTTCAATCGTTTCGACGACTCGAAAAGGACATGGGAAATTCTGGGATTGGGAAAATGATGGGAAATGATCTACAAAAATTGGCTTGTCATGCTGTTCCCATGACTATGTCGATGAAAAATGGAGGGTCATGAAGTTCATATCTCAAAATAGGCCAAGGACCCAAGGCTGCATGGCAAATCATGGAGCTCTGATTTTTGAGCTCTTCACGTGCCATCAATAATTCGATATGAGCCAACATCGCAAACAAGTGTTGGCTCCCCATCAGGATGGTATCTTCCTCCATGGAAACAGCGAACAATTCACTGTTGCCCTACCATTTGCCAGTCGGTCTAGCTGCTTGGATCTGGGTCAGGTCACCCGTTCACCCTTGTGTCTGACTTTCTGTGAACCACCACAATTACACTCCAGTAAACTATAACAAAGCTATGGGCTATGGAAAAAAGGCCCATTCATAGACGGCCTATTTTTTTTTCCATGGCTATGTTAGTTCACTGACAGATAAGCTGGTATATAAATGTATATTCATCCTCCTGACGGACGGTCCCCATCCCAAGTTCTGAAACCATCTGCCAGTAGAACAACATTCCGTCCCATGCTTAACAACCTCATTGTTTCCTCTAACAGCACCCAAAAATGAGTATCATTTCATCCCTTCAGTGATTTCTGATCATTTCCTCCGAACTCAGCCAAGTTGCTGTTCAATCTCTGGTTGGTGGTTTTAACCATCTTTAAAAATATTAGTCAATGGGAAGGATTATCCCATATATGATGGAAAATAAAAGTCATGTTTGAAACCACCAACCAGATCTACTTCTTTCGTATCTTTTAGTGACCACATTGCGAAAAAAGGGGACGTCCCAATGCTCCCACTCCGCCTTCCCTAGGCAAGACAGGACCACCTGGCAGAAACGTCAAACGAATGTCACAGTGAACCTTGGGACATGACATTGCGCAGTGATGTAGACATGTCAGTACGGTATTTTATATGGATATTACATATTAATGCATATTATATATACAACAATAAACATAGATCATATATGTATATGTGCCATATCAACTCATATTATGTAAACATATACGCTGTATATCATGGTATTTCGAAATATGTATACCTCTATAGAGAGGGACACGGCAAGAGAAACAAAAGAAACCACGGAATCGTTTCACAGGAGATCTCACTGATCCAAATTTAAAATGGGGAGAACATAGATTGAACAGAGACTGTACAGTCAAAATCCTAAAAAGATTGGGAAGAAAAGTCTCCATTACCAAAATGGGAAGTCATTACTTAACAAAAACTTCTGGGAATAAAGCATGGTCAGTTTCCAAAAGGAACCTTTGGCAAAAAAAAAAGATCTGTGAACGCCCGAGCCTCACAGGAGAAGACAGTAATACCTCGCAGCAAAGGCAACTCATGACTCACCTCTCCAAAGAAAGTGGCTACGACGGCTACCTAGAACACGTTCGTTGGAGCAACGCTGAGATATGTTCATTATATATATATATATACAGAATCAGGCATCCAGCACTCTGTGGATTCCAATGTCACCAAAATCTGTCGTTCCGATTGATTTCAGTGCAGCTGAGAGACATAAGATTCCAATGATGTTGAAAATCATGTCTGCCGGCTTCTCTGTGAGTATGATCCTGGCTCGAGTGATGTTTGTGTGGCCAGCATAGAGTGAGGATGATGCCATTCCATGAAACATACGCAGTGGTTCATAGGTGTCCCCTTATACAACTAATGTTAATTATATATATATATATATATATGGACTACAATTTAACATCACCAATAAACCAGGTAATGTAACACAACAATCACCCAATCAAAAATTGCTAGACTCTAGACACAGTCACGGCTCAATTGAAATCATGATGCCAGCGAGAGTAGCCTGGCACCAAGAATCCAAGAACCATGGATTCGGTTCGGGTGATTTTTCAATGTCTAATTCATTCTGATTCTAATCTCCAGAAGGAACCCTGGACTGGAAGATCTTCATTATGTTTACCAAGTGTTTGATCACTTTTTTGCATGTGAAAAAAATGCAAAATTGCCGCCCCCTGATGCCGTACTGTAAGAATTGCTGACGTTCCAAGGAAAATCTATAGCAACCCTCTGGGTCTTGACCATCAAATCCTTTTGGAGTTCTTGGCATCTGTAATATTTATTCACCAAGCCCGGGTTGGCTTTAAGGCTTGCTGGTTCAACCTTCCATTTTAGCTGGTGATATCCTCAAGTCATCCGCAGTAAGCGCATAGAAGGTGAGGACAGTGGTGAAGACCATGAAGTGCGTGTTGTCCACCTGGCTCTTCGGTCCCGAACCCCGAGCGGCTCACCTGTACAGGCCTCCCTGGTGTAAGTGTGCTAGGGCTCCCCATATCCCACTTGGGGTGTGCTTCCAAAAAATGGTGCTTAAGCTGCCACTTAAACTGCCGTGAAACGCGTCTTGGACCTGTTCCTACAACTGGTGGTTGCTGGTATGGCGCCTTGGAATCTTTTCGAGAGATAGCCCTTGATCATAATCACGCTAATAATGGGTCCAGCTTCCAATTTGCGTCAGGAAATAAAAGTCAAGAGACGCCACGCCCTCGGCCCAAAGTTACAGATCTGGGAGCAGCTCAAAAAATGCAAAGAAAAAGAAACGTCCTTTTTGGTGTTCAACCAGTTTACCAACCAGTTTACCAAACAGTTCACAAACCTGAAACAAGGTCATGCCTTCATGATTCTGCTTGAGGCCAAGAGGTAACGCGCAAAAAACATCGTGTCTCTCAAACTTGCCAGGACTCACGATGGTTCTAGAGACTCGTATGTACAGAGGCAATTGTTTTCCTCGGTTTCCAATGGACTTCCAAAAACTCAGCAGTGCGCAAATGCAGGTGGCGCGTCGATGGCCACAATTTCGGTTGGTCACTGGCTTGCTCGGACAATCGCAAAATTAAGGTGGTTTAACCATCATTTTGTGCCAGCCAAATATTCAGGACTTCCTCGAATTTGTCCCCAAAAACCCTCCGGAAATCAACTCCATGGCTGGAATGTGCCCAAGTGATGATTTTCCTAGATAGAAACCTCCATTGATCGGGCTTTCCCAGCATTCGATTACCGGGTAAGCCACTGCAGTTGAGCCCAATGTATGGCCATTCAAAAAATCGGACCATGATTTCCTCAAAGGTTGAGTCGAGTGGTTCAGAGGCATCCTCCATTTTCATTGGAGAAATCTTCACACGTTACGTGGAAAGGATCAAAATCTTCCCAAAAAAAATGATGGTTTCAGATCCATCAGAGAACCACTGACTTGGCTCCGTCTGTTCAAACGCCAAGAAAAACCTCCAGTTCCCTCAGCTCTGGAATTGGAGACCAGACTTCAAACAAAGTCCAGAATCATCATTAGAATCGTTAAATACCACCATCCATTTTAAGATACCCTTCAAATCATCATCCTCCATCCCCACATCGCGGTCTGTGCTGCCGGGCGGTTTTTATTTTGGGGCTTGGGCTTGGCGGTATTTTGTTTGCTACTTCGTGGAGTGGGCTGTCCTGGACCGCCGCGGCGCGGCTTCGCGGGACCTATAATATTTTTTAAGCGACCATGGTGATTCTTTTTGGAGAAAGACGTGAGAAAAGGTGTTCGAGTTTTAGATCTTACATAAGACCGAAAATATAGAGTTAGTATGTAACCCCCAAAAAAATTGGAAGAGTATAAATTACCAATATAGTAGATGTTTACGTTTCAATCTTTTTGGAAAGGGTCCAAAAAAAGTGGATGCGACCCAAAAAATGGTGATAAAGCATCCATTGCTCGTCGGTATGTTTGAGATGACTGGAAAATCCACGCACTTTTGTCACTCGGTTCGGAACATCGATGGTCAAAACTCAATAGGACTCCATGGGTTTTACCAGCCAGATATGGTGGGCTTCTGTAAATGTTCCAACCAAGATGATCGTTTGACCTCATAATGTCGGGGACATCTCTGGGCATTGAATCACTCAACAGGATGAACGGGTGTGCCACCAACAACTGCAAAAATACTGATCCACCTGAAAATCCGCCGAAAGAAAGCGAAAACAGAGTCCTGAATGAAATCAGCCTCTGACGGACTCTGTCAATCTAAACAATCGCTGCACTGTCCCCGAAACACTTCCCCAATCGCCGGGGGCCAGGATCCTTTGGGACCATCTGCGGATGAGCCGCCGGTGTGCACGGAGACCGGAGGACCTGGCGGACACGCAACGTTTTTGCCACGTACGTCACTGGGCATATCATTGGGAAGATCAAATAACCAAGTTATCACCACGAATACAGAAAGGATTTACATATAAAAAGAATTACATACATTACAAATGTATTCATCTATATAAACACATCTGGCCCTCTTGCTTCATGATGTTTATATAAGTATATGTGTTTTTAATGTTGGATTCCATCTTTTAAACCATATCATATATCACACCCAAAAAAAAGATGCCGAAAAGTGTTTCCAGGACGAAAATCTCGATGATGTTTCTTGATGTTTTCCAGGATTCCAAGCGTGGCATCTTTTGGAGCTACCATGTCGGTTGGAAAACTCAATTCGTAGCTCATTGGCTCCCCATTTGTATGGTTGGCTTTAACTCATTTACGACTCAACACATTTAAGAAACAGCAGAGTTTGTTACTGGTCATCATACTTCCCCATTTTTGCGGTAAACGAACCAACAAAACTCTGGTAAACTAACATAGCTATTGAAAATGACCATAGAAATAGTGAGTTTTCCCATTAAAATGGTGATTTTCCATAGCTATGTTAGTCATTACCAGAGGGTAACTCTGGAACATCACCATGTTTAAAAACGCCCAACGAACAGTACCATGCGCTGGGGCATCCGGGCTGCGCAGCTCCACCGAAGGCTCCGTGGAGAAGGAATCCTCGAAAAAGGCTCGAGAAGAACTTGGAGATTTGAAGAAATGACAGATAGACTTAAATGGTTTGGTTAGATATATATATATATTATGATATGTTATGATATGTTATGATATATTATGATACATTATGATATATTATGATATGTTATGATATATTATGATATGTTATGATGTGTTATGATATATTATGATATATTATGATATGTTATGATATGTTATGATATATTATGATATGTTATGATATGTTATGATATGTTATGATATGTTATGAGATATTATGATATGTTATGATATGTTATGATATGTTTTGATATATTATGATATGTTATGATATATTATGATATGTTATGATATGTTATGATATGTTATGATATATTATGATATATTATGATATATTATGATATATTATGATATATTATGATATGTTATGATATGTTATGATATATTATGATATGTTATGATATATTATGATATGTTATGATATGTTATGATATGTTATGATATATTATGATATGTTATGATATGTTATGATATATATATATATATTATGATATATTATGATATGTTATGATATGTTATGATTTATTATGATGTGTTGTGATATATTATGATATGTTATGATATGTTATGATATATTACGATATATTATGATATATTATGATATATTATGATATGTTATGATTTATTATGATGTGTTATGATATGTTATGATATATTACGATATATTATGATATACTATGATATACTATGATACATTATGATATATTATGATATATCATGATATATTGTGATATATTATGATATATTATGATATATTATGATATATTATGATATATTATGATATGTTATGATATATTATGATATATTATGATATGTTATGATATGTTATGAGATATTATGAGATAGATATTGTTTTATGATATATTATGATATGTTATGATTTATTATGATGTGTTATGATATGTTATGATATATTACGATATATTATGATATACTATGATATACTATGATACATTATGATATATTATGATATGTTATGATATATTATGAGATATTATGATATATTATGAGATATTATGATATATTATGATATATTATGAAATATTATGATATGTTATGATTTATTGTGATATATTATGATATATTATGATATATTATGAGATATTATGAGATAGATATTGTTTTATGATATATTATGATATGTTATGATTTATTATGATATGTTATGATATATTATGATATGTTATGATATGTTATGATATATTATGATATATTATAATATATTATGATATATTATGATATGTTATGATATATTATGATATGTTATGATATATTATGATTTATTATGATATGTTATGATATATTATGATATATTATGATACATTATGAAATATTATGATATGTTATGATATATTATGATATATTATAATATATTGTGATATGTTATGATATATTATGATATATTATGATATATTATGATATACTATGAGATATTATGAGATATTATGATATATTATGATATATTATGAAATATTATGATATGTTATGATTTATTGTGATATATTATGATATATTATGATATATTATGAGATATTATGAGATATTATGAGATATTATGATATAGTATGATATATTATGATATATTATGATATGTGATGATATATTCTGATATATTATGATATATTATGAGATATTATGAGATATTATGAGATATTATGATATATTATGATATATTATGATATATTATGATATGTTATGATTTATTGTGATATATTATGATATATCATGATATATTATGATATATTACGATATATTATGATATATTATGATATAGATATTGTTTTATGATATATTATGATATATTATAAAATATTATGATATATTATGAGATATTATGAGATATTATGATATGTTATTTAAAAAAAATGATATGTTATGATTTATTGTGATATATTATTATATATTATGATATATTATGATATATTACGATATATTATGATATGTTATGATATATTATGATATATTATGATATGTTATGATTTATTATGATGTGTTATGATATATTATGATATGTTATGATATGTTATGATATGTTATGATATGTTATGATTTATTATGATATGTTATGATATGTTATGATTTATTATGATATGTTATGATATATTATGATATGTTATGATATGTTATGATATATTATGATATATTATAATATATTATGATATATTATGATATATTATGATATGTTATGATTTATTATGATATGTTATGATATATTATGATATGTTATGAGATATTATGATATATTATGATATATTATAATATATTATGATATATTATGATATGTTATGATATATTATGATATGTTATGATATATTATGATATATTATGATATGTTATGATATGTTATGATATATTATGATATGTTATGATATATTATGATATATTATGATATATTATGATATATTGTGATATATTATGAAATATTATGATATGTTATGATTTTTTATGATATATTATGATATGTTATGATATATAATGATATGTTATGATATTTTAGATACAAGTGATAATCCAGAAAACTCTTGTGAATAAAACTGTGGTGATTTGTTCGTTCACCATGTTTTCCTGAAACCCAAGGGGTATACTCCCCACGGATGATTCGGGATGGGTAGGTGTCACTGTATATACTCCCCACGGATGATTCGGGATGGGTAGGTGTCACTGTATGGAGTACGGTCTCCGTCATCGACCGTCATCAAGAATCCGAAAGGTAGAAGGCATGCTTCGTGGCAAGACATGATCGAAGCAGAATCTTCGAAATCAGAAGTATCAGAAGGAAAACTCAAATGGCAGTGTGTCAAAACCTTGTACCCCTTCTGTTCACATCAAAATAGCTGGGATTTATGGATGTTCATCCCAGTAAAAATGGTATTTTCATAGGTATTGATCCATACCCAAATTGTCCTCCGGTTTTACCATCAACAACGACCTGTGGATCCCCCGCTCTGGAGGGCGGTACTGGAACAGGCAAGCCAATCTTCGCGGCCTCCAGGGGGGATTCTCTGGAATTGTTGCAGCTACAAACATTTCGCGCAGTGAAAGTGAAAGTGAAAGCAACAAACATTGTGATGTAAGCAATTAGGTAGACAAAATGAGTGGTGATCACTTTCTGTCCACATGCCAAAAGTGGTGGAAAAAACATACCGGCCGACTCCTCGCATGGGCACCTGAACATTTCTATGACAAGGCGACCCCCGGGTTTTCCAAGCGGTGGCTATGCGTAGACGTAGAAATACATCATATAAATACCATATGATAGCATGATACTATTTTGGATACCACTATTTTGGCGGAACTCTGAGTATAGTTCCTTGGCTTCCCAAATTCTTGATTTTCTTGGGAATATCAATACATAACTGACATAACTATAGTAAATCAGCATGTTCAACAGCTAAATCATCGCACATTTGGGTCATGGCTTCCAGTTCGCCCCACCCCTGCACCTTCGCACCATTGGGAGCACTCGGAGCGGGAGGTGTGGAAGGTTGGGCCGGGGCCATCCTCAGCAGGGCCATTTTTCATGGGGAAAAAATCCACCATTTTGCGAAAGGTTCTTTAAAGGGTTCTGGGGGAAACCGAGTAACAAGGCCAAGGATTGGTGTTTGAAGTGACTAAATACTTAAGCACATATTTGGCAAAATGATGTCCATTCTCTCCCTGGCATTCCCTGGCTACGCATGCAGAAAAACAGTTTTTAGCTGCGTGAGTTTTGTGGCTGTGCCATGGAAAATCACCACGTTTAAGAGGTAAATTCATCGAACTCAATGGTTTTTTCCATAGCAAACTGTGATTGTTTTTCCTTGGTCATATCCTGTTTGGATCCCCATCAGCAGATGAAATTCATGATGGTTTTCCATTCGTAGGTCGTACTCAAAAAAACAGTATTAGTCTTAACGGTGAACGCAAAAGACGTCGTCTTGCTGCGTTTGAAAACTCCCATAGAATTTTCATCTAAGGTTTTTCAAGTGCTCTTCTCGATCCAGGCCTTCTCTTCCTTCAGTTTTTTTCTATGCAAATCAATGGAGTATCACTAGAAAACCGCTGGAAAACCGCTAGCTAGAAAACCCATGGAAAAAACGATCGAAACAATGGATCCGTCGAAAACCGAAAAACCTGAGCCTCCCTACAGCGTTGCGTCGAGACCATTTTATTCTCGCTGCCCGCAAGCGTGGCATGTCATGTGTGGAAACTGGAGCCGCAGATCGTCCGGCAGCACCGTGGATCTATAGATCAATGGGTTTTGAGAAGCATTGACCAGAAACTATCGTAATTTCCCTGCTGAAATATGCTGCTTCCTGCAAATTGTCCCTTTTTCAACAATTCTGAAATTAAGTCTGAGGGGAATTATTCATATGATTCACTAAACATCGGAAAATCACCATTGCCAATAGGTAAATCATCCTGGTTATCAGCTGATCGGTTGATCCTTTGAAACGTCACTGTCACTGTCAGAAAGTTTTATGCAATCCCTTCCCCATTGTAAGTATTGTTCAAAATGCAGTGAAAATAGCCACAATTCGGGATATAGAGCCAACATCATATTGAATACATATATATATGTATATATATATATATATATGTATATGTATAGATATATAATTACTAATATATATATATATATGTATATTGTGGTTTCACCCACACTGGTAGCAAGATGAATTCGGCAATCAAGTTCTGAAAGACTCCCTGATCTCAATCGAATCGCAAGCGTCCACGCTCGCACTGTTTTCCGCAATGGCTCGGCCACGAGCACAAATCACACCTAAGAAGGAAGGCCACCTAAGCCCTCAGCCCTTTCCTGATGGCTGCCCTGAGCCACTAGTAAAGCATCGGACGGTCGATGCAAAGTCAAGGTTATCCACATGGATTCAACTCGTTGAATGGCCCTTCCAAGACATGTAAGTGGTTACCTCAAGGTTTATCAGGAAAATCACACTCCTAAAAATTATCTATTTTCAAAATAGTCAGTTGAATTTTGAATATGGACAACGGAGCAGGAGTGATCTTCCCGCAAGGCAGGTATTGGGCTGTGGCTCAAAAGTCTCGGGTGCTATTGGCGGAAGCTGCTTTTCCAAACTAATTTATTGTGACTCAGACAGCTCATCGGCTGACATCAAGCACAACGCAAAAACATGCAAGGCTGACTCAAAGGAACTACTTTGATTGTACCATTGTTGTCGGATCTTTTTGTCGGCTCTCTGTTTCAGGATTTCATCCACATCATGTAAGATACACTTTCCCCGTTCGAGGAACGATCTAAGCACTGTGGTGTCCATATCCTTAGTCAGTGAGTCTGCCATTTGAGCAGCGCTATGCACCCATTTAATTATGACCCCTTCCTTTAATCGGTCTTTAATGACCAACGCCTCCAACATGGTTCGGTATTCAGAGCATTGTGGTATGGAGGTTTTCTGAAGAAGGTCGAACAGGCTCTTGCAGTCCACAACAGCAAAGGCTTTGGGAAGTACCTTCAAGGTGTTTTCCGGTTCTTTCCATGCAAGTTGGGGGTTAAGTATCCATGCCCAGTGGATGCGAATCCAGCTCAAGGTGTCAAGAGCTCCGGATAAAGCATAGGTTTCTGAAGCCAGCGTGCTTGAAACCACTCTATTGATCTTTTTCGAAAACCAAACTAGAGGGCTCACTTCTGCAGTCTTAAGTTGATCTATGGTATCCGTGGTGGCAAGAATCAAACATCCTTTCTGAGAATGGGCTTTTCACGTGTCGCGAATGCAGCATCTGAAAATGACAAAACCCTCACTTGGCTGGGATCCAAAGGTTTAATCTTGATGGTGGTCTCAGCATGATTCTTGGCGTCAGCCAACAGGCGATTGCCAGCTAACAGGTCTGCTACGGTCGCGCAGGTGATCCTAGCTTGCAAAAGGCTAAGCCGGCAGGATATATCAGGTCGGGTATTGGTGGCTGCATACTGCAAACTGCCTATGAGGCCACGTAGATCTTGCAATTCCTGTTGATTGATTGGAGTTTGTGGATTCTTTCGTCTCTCTCGGTTCACGTTGATAGGTGGTATATCATTGATATATTCCTTTTGGGAGAGATGAATTTCACCATTGTGTTCTTGATGGATTTGAACTCCAGTGAAAGTGAAGGAACCCTGTCTCTGGCTTCCGAATGGATATTTCCGTTCCAATGCTTGTATGGTCTGATGAAACACTGAGTCTCCACCTCCTATTCCGTCATCTACATGTATGCCGACTATTCCATGTATCTTGGGTGACCTTTGGAATCGCGTCGAGGCAACACGAATAGACATGGATCAAGGGGGGAAATAACAAAACCCAGTGCAAGAAGGGCATTTTTCAACTCAACATACCAAAGCAAAGGGGCATTGATAAGTCCATATGCACCTTTCAAGAGTTCACATACTTCATTGTCCTGAAGTTTCATTTTTAATCTCAATTCTTGCGGGGGTTCTACTCCAAGGATTCTGGAATCTTGGCGGCTGCCTCGCAAAAACGCGGTCTTGATATCGAAGGAACGGGCAGTCCATCGATGGCTGGCAATACACTGAAGAGCTAACATTCTGCTATCCCTGCCTAAGGTCGGAGAGTCGCGAGGAAGGGAATCGATCAAAGGATCTTCATATCCCAAAATCACTAGACGTGCTTTCGCCTTACGGTTCATCCCAGTCTCCTTTTGTTCTACTTCGTCAAGTGTTTTCCATGTGAGGACCCATCGGGATCGAAGCAGTTGCCCTTCAGGGATGCGACTTCTCAGAATGCGCTTAACGGTGTCCGTGGCCAACCACGATTCAAGTTCTTTGTCCTTGGCTTTACTGAAAAGTTCTTTGTCGGATTGGTTCAAGTCTCGTGTTTTCACTTCAATCTTTTGGCGTTTGGCCTGAGATGCCAAATAAGCTTCTTGATATTCATATGTTTTTCCCAAACATTTTTGGAAGTCATCAAGTGTAAGGAGGATTTCAGCATAGGTTACAGCGTTCTCTGTCGTATTTGGTTGTTGTTTGGGATTATGGGACGTGGTAGAAAAATGGATTTGATCTTGGGGAACTTTGAAGTTGAAAATGGTCTTTCCAATCCAGGGTTCGGGTTGTGGCAACACGGCTTGAACAGAGTTTCTCCATGTTTCTGTTCTCTGAAAACTAGCTCCTGATTGATATGTACCTACAGTCACACGACTATCATCGAGGTCATTCACATCTATAGGACAATTCCAAGCATCAAATGGACTGAACATTTGAATCCGGAAATTCGGATGATGTCGGATCAACTGTCCTTGGTGGATCTCCCAAGTGTCATGTTCAAAATGGCTGGCCACTAAGTCATCGTCAGTCTCATCAGGGACCGGAACAACAACAGCAGGATCAATTGTCCCCGGGCTTTCGGCATTGGGAGTCTCAGCATTGGTTTCAGCGTTTGGTTGAGATTCTGAATTATTTTCTGGTTCATCGTCGGGTTGTGTCACGGATGCAGGTGGCGTCTCTTGTGGAATTGGGACGGCAGCATTTGGTGTGTTATTGATAATTTGATCAGTGATTATGGGTCCATTATGATTGGTATTCCGGGGTCTGGCCGAATCTAATGGAGGTTGTTGGGATAGTTCATGAAATTGAAAAACACCATTCCCACATCGTGCCGGCAATTGCAAAGATTGGCTCTTTTCTTCAGGCGTTAAAGAGTCATTTTCATCCTGAGACAAGCAACGCACATGTTCTGGTGCACATCGATACAACTTTGTGAGGTGGCTGATCCAGATCAAGTTGGCACCTTCAGTCATGAGAACCCGGGCGGGCCCATGCCAGCTACCATCTTCTACTCCTTTTCCATTTCTCCAAAACATGACTAAGTTCCCTGGTTGGAAGGTGTTTCTATTTGGTCTGGACCGTGCATGTAAGGCTCTTCGAAGTGCTAGGCTGTGATCAGCCTTCACGAACGCCATGCGGGCGGCTTCGCGCCGTGCAAGTTGTTCTTGGAACCTTTGGCCTTCAGGGGACTGGTCAAGGCCGGCAAAGCTGGCACTGTCCAAGTCAGTAGAACAATTGCTACCTGGAATGGGTCTCATTTTTCCCAAAACCCAAAGTTCAGGGGTGTAGCCTTCATGTCGAGACATTGAGTTCTTCGCATTGCAGAGCTGAAGGAGGCACTTATCAAAATCCCCTTGGGTGGTGATAGGAAATTCTTCATGATATCGGTCTATCATGTGTTTCAGCGTGGCTCCATGTCTGTCGGCTCGCCCCAATTGCCAATGGGCTTCAGTGGGAATCACAAAACTTTCGATAGAATGTTCTTGCAGAAACCTGGCAAACTCAGTACTGTTGGCTTCCGTGGCACTGTCAAACAGGAGGCTCTTGGGTGGCCCTGCCCAGCGAAGCCATGCATGTGAAAAAGCCTCAATCAACCCTTCGGTGGTCCTTTGAAAATATGGTACAGCAATGTGGTAATTGGAAGCGGTGTCAATGAAATGGTAAAAGGGAAATTTGTGTCCTTCTGGTGATTGCCATTCAGCACCATCGAAAGAAACTTGGTCATTGAAATCTTTGGGTTGGGTTAAATGGCCTGGTCGGGCTGTTCTTGGCTTTTGGCTCTCGGCACATACTGGACATTGAAAATCGGCACAACCTTGAACGCTCTCAATGGGCCACACATAGCGCTTCAGGGCGAGTTGTAACACTCGATTGTCAGGATGTCCCAAATTTTGGTGTATCTTCCGAATTTGGTTCTGAGTAGGTGTATCAAGTTGACGGAATTTGGGACCATGGGTGATGATTGATGGTTCACTGGTAGGGTTGCTACTGAGTGGAAGGTTATCAGTGGATGGATTGTTGTGGGTTACAGGACCATTACTTTCGGGAACTTCAGGATTCTGGATTGTCTGGCTTTCAGTCTTGGCCATCTTTGGTAACATCTGAACCTCAGTGTCACTGCTGCGTTTCTGGGTGGCAAACATCGTCACTAAGATCCGAGATGGTGTGCCAGATCGAATTTGCTGTCGACCTGAGAGAACCTCCCAGGCTTCCCACTCAGGGTCTTCAAACACTTCTAAATCAGCCCTACGTTTCCCAAACGCTCGGCGATATGGGGTGGTGCCTTTAGGACCAATGTTGCAAGTTCGAAGGCGGTTGATACCTCGGCAAATGTCAATGGCAACAAGATGTTTTTCCGGAAACGTCTCCTGGATTGCCTGAAACAAAGGACCATCGGTCA